AAATGCTCAAAAATAAAATTAAGAGATGTCATGAGTGTATTTGTTTTATAATTTACTACAAGTCATTCTTCCTGACTATATTTAGTCCCAGTCTTCAAATAACATCAGAGGTTAGCTGTTGATATATATTTATTATATTCAGAATGATGTTGCTGAAGGTAAAATACAAGGTACTGATTTTCAGGAACTTTTACTGTACAAAACATTTTCAAAATTAAAACACTTCCAATAATAGATGAATTTGCATAGTATGAATACAGACTCTCATCATGCATTCTTATTCAGTTAAAATTCGAAGTGTCTGAAATTCTAGTATTTGGCCCACAAATTCGATATTAAGAACATTTGGTGTTAGTCCATATCTGAATTGAAGAAGTTATTGATCTCTGTTCTTCAGGTATCTTATGTCCAAAGCAGCTGGAGATCACCAACTCCCTCTCTGTGTGACATCACTAGAAAACACTAGACTGGTGATGTCACACATACCACAGAACCCCGCTGCAGAATGGAGCAGGCCTATTAAGGGTAAGTTTTTTCCCTCCACCACCACCCCTTTTCAACAATATTACGTGGTTTTATAAGGTTACTAATTTTCTTTACTTTATGTCCCTGGAATATAAAGTAAAGATGACAGAAAATCTTATAAAACTACAAAATATTGTGGTGTTGTGTGTGTGTGTTTATTTAAAAACAAAACAAAAACTCCCATATAAAGTTCAGTCCTTATACCATATATCAATATCCTGGCTCCAGTCTGCTTTGGGATTCAATGATGAGTATGCCAGCATAGTGTATGTTGGGGCATCAGTCACAGAGAGTGGAGTCAGCATTTCCTGGCTGCTCTGGATGTCAGAAACCTTGTTTTAAAAGGTAAGTTTTCAGTTGAGAATGTGTTGAATATCTCTTTGTGTTTATATGGAAACATTCAGCATGTTTCTAAAAAGTATTTTTATTATGTTTGCATTTTTAAAATTTACTTGTAACTTGACACAGCTCAAAGTCACATTTTATACTTGTCCTCTGTCTAGGCCTTCTTTTCTCTTGTTTTCATGTTGTTAATACCCTATATTGTGTTTCAAAAAAAAAGTAATGTTTTGGTTGTCTACTACCTGGAACAAGGTGGTAACTAAATTCTGTTTAATATCATTCTGAATTATCTGGGCAAGGGCATCCTCAGCCATTTCAGAGACAACACCAAGCTGGGCAGGAGTGTTGATCTGCTGGAGGGTAGGAAGGCTCTCTGGAGGGATCTGGACAGACTGGATCAATGGGCCAAGGCCAATGCTGTGTGGTTCAACAAGGCCAAGTGCCCTGTCCTGCACTTGGGTCACAGAAACCCCAGACAGCGCTACAAGCTGGGGGAGGAGTAGCTGAAAGTGTCCAGTAAAAAAAGGACCTGGAGTTGCTGGTCAACCATGGCTGAACATGAGCCAGTGGTGTATCCAGGTGGCTGAGGCAGCCGATGGCATCCAGGCCTGCGTCAGAAATAGTGTCTCCAGCAGGACCAGGGAAGTGATTTTCTACCAGTGATTTTGGCACTGGTAGAAATCAAAGCACCTGGAATCATATCTCTTTTTAAGGAATTACAGCATCTGGCCTTTGCAGAGATCTTACATATTTGCATGGAAAATCAACTGAACCACAATTTAGAAGTATGTCATTTGACCTATATTTGTTCTGTCCTTACTATTTCTGAGGAGAGAAGGTTCTTCTCATGGCTTAAATTTGTCTGTGTTTCCATTAACAGGTTTATTGTCAACTCCAAAACCCAAGTAGGAAAGATGAATAATTGGGATAAAGGGAAATAATTTACATTTTTAAAAATTGTGTTGCTATAAAATTTACATTAAAATGTAGAGTTTTCCAGAAACTATATCCAGTGGATACTATATTTCACAGATTCACAGAATGGGTCAGGTTGGAAGGGACCACAGTGGGTCATCTGGTCCAACCTCTCTGCTCAAGCAGAGTCACCCCAGAGCACATTGCACATGATTGTGTCCAGACCGTTCTTGAATATCTCCAGTGAGAGAGACTCCACCTTTCTGGGCAATCTGTTCCAGTACTCAGTCACCCACACAGTAAAGAAATTCTTCCTCATGTTCAGGCAGAACTTCCTGTGCATCGGTTTCTGCCCATTGCCTGTTGTCCTGTTGCTTGGCACCACCAAGAAGGGCCTGGCTTCATCCTCTTGGCACCCTCCCTTATAAGCCTTGGACATCCCCTCTCAGTCATCTCTTCTCAAGGCTGAACATGCCCACCTCCCTCAGCTTTCCTCATAAGAGATGCTCCAGTCCCCTCATCTTCGTCACCCTCCACTGGACTTGCTACAGGAGCTCCAGTCTCTGTTGTACTGAGGAGCCCAGAGCTGGACACAGCACTTCAGATGTGGCCTCCCTAGAGCTGAGTGGAAGGACAGGATCACCTCTCTCAACCTGCTGTCAGTGCTCTTCCTAATGCACTCCAGGACACCATTGGCCTTCCGGGCCACAAGGACACACTGCTGGCTCATGGACAGCTTGTTTTTCACCAGAACCCCAGGTCCTTCTCTGCAGAGCTGCTCTCCAGCGAGTCAGCCCCCAGCCTGTACTGGTGCCTGAGATTATTCCTCCCCAGGTGCAGGACCCTGCATTTGCTTTGTTGAATTTCAGACAGTTCTTCTCTGCCCATCTTTCCAACCTGTCAAGATCTTTCTGAAGGTCTGCACAACCCCCTGGAGTATTGGTCACTCCTCCCAACTTTGTGTCCTCAGCAAATTGGCTGAGGAGGCCTCTATCCTGTCATCCAAGTCATTGATGATTAACTTAATGCTGGACTGGTGTTGAACCATGGAGGACACTTACTAGGAACAGGCCTCCAACTGTAGCTAGCTCTAGAATTCAGGGTGCAGGGATTGGTTAGGTTTTTTGTTCATTTTTGTAATCAAGGAGAAAAGTAACTTACATTTGTTCATACTTGTTCTTCTGTGAAGTGTTAATGAAGCCAATAAAGCCTTGAAGTCTGTCCTTGACTAAATGTTCTACTTGTATCTGGCTGCCTGATACATTTACCACTTCATTTACTCAGTCTGCTGATATTTATGTCTCATAAATACTCTTTTTTTTCTATGTAAGCCGCAATCTTGGCTTAATTAAAGACCAGTTAGTCTTAGAAATTAATAATTTCACGTTTTTACTTTGTAGTGATTTTTCATATCTTTTTAATGCTACATTTTCACACATCCCCTTCTTTGCTATATCAACTGCATGTACAGAATTTCTGTATCATAATAGTAGTGGTATTGTTTATTTTTGCTATTTGATTTTTGTTTTGAGACAATCCACTAGTACTCTGTGGTATATAAATTCATCCTTTTAAAACTGTCTATGAAATGTTTTGTATCTCTTACAAGAAAAATCTGTGCACATAATATTCGTATGTTAACAATTAATTCTGTTGATTACTGACATTAGGAGATGATATCAGATGCCCCAGTAGGCTACAGTGAGCACAGGGCTGTTTTCTGTGGCTAGTGACAGGTTTTATGCTGCAGTGCGTTACATGTGCAAATGTGACTGGCCATAAGTGAAGGAAATTAAAATACAGTTTGCTGGCTTGTCTGTGTGTTCAACAGTGATCATAATGTGGTAATGTAATATAATATCCTACTTAAAATCTTTGCTTTTATAATTTTAATTTAAGAATGAAGGAGTAACTATTTGTTTTGTTATGTAACATGTAAATGATTGTTCATAAAAAATAGATATCTGGTCTTCAAACAAGCTGATCTTGCTGTACATTGGAGGGATCTGCTGAAATGTGTAAAAAGTCCTTAGGAAGATCATTCTTGTAGACTACTGAAAGGCAGCTATGTCAAGCTTTATCCAGGTTTTCCTGCCTTACATTTCTTTGTGTGCTAGACCACAGGAAGCTGTAAAGGATATAAGAGCTATGAAAAGCTAAATATGTATATGAAATAAGTAAGTCCCCAAGTCTTGCTTTTTTTACTTGCAGAACCCTAGTCCCTTTATTGTCTTACATCCTCTCTGACAAGTCAAGAACTAAAATCCTCATTTACATAAAACACACAAGAGTGGGAGAAGTACTAGAGTACACCACTTCTCTTTTATAGCAGTTACATATATATGTACTGTTCAGTCTTTTAGCTGATGAACTACAGAATAAAGTTTTGGGAAGAAATATTTACTAGGGATATCTATGAGTGTTAAGGGGTGAGTTCTGCAGCACCGTGGCTGCCATGGTTGTCATTTCCCAGTGTCTTTAATCGTCATTCAGACTTTCCTGATTTAAGAAAACATTGATTTTTCGTGAAAGATTATAAGATTACATATATTGATTTTGAAAATAACACCATTTTTAATTATACATTTAAATTAAAACCTTAAAGATTTTACATGGGAAAACTGGTCTTTGCTGCATAGTCTGTTGCTTCATAAAAGATCAATTTGCAAAACTTTTCTTTTAAAAAAACCCTTTATCTAGAACTTTAAATAAAATGTAATGCAAAAATTGTGGAGGTTTTATCCCTGAAAATTACAGTTGTTTGTTTTTTTTTTTTGCAAATAAAATGATAGAATTTATACCACTTCTCTTAATTGAGATTATGGTAAGATTTTCTGATTGTGAAAAGTTAAAATGTGGTTGATTTCCCTGACCTGAATGAATTACTACCTATGCTAGTTACTCATTTAAGTGATTTTAAACACATAGTGCGTTTGCAGGATCCTGCTTCAGTTTTAAGTTTGAGCTATAAAAATTAGCATACTTGCAGTATTGCTTTTTTAACTGGGACATTATATCTCTCTAGTTAAAAAAAAAAGTTAAAGTATTAATGTCTTACATAGCTTAAGTGTAGAGGTAACTCTAAAACTTCTTGCTATTTTCTTCCAGTTATTTTCCTCATATACTGTATTAGTGTACCAGGATTATTGTAGTACTAATAAAATCTAACAAGATTCGGGTCTAACACAATGATAAATAAATGGAATTTATGTTTTCAGGGAAGATGGTACCACCGGAAGCAAGCAGTAAAGGAATTGCATGGTACGTTGTTACGACTGCTTAATGAACTGTTACCATGGGAACCAAAGCTAATTAAAGCATTTCAAAGAAACAGGTAATTAGCTGCTTTTTTTTTAACAGTGGTGCATGAGATGAAACATGGAACAAAATTCACCTTTTAAACTAATCAATGAATAGGCTTCTCTCAAATAAGTTAATTGAAAATACTTTGAGGAGAGGCATGAGGCACTGGTAGTACTTTAATTGGAAGAAGTATTTTATATTCCAGACCTATCATCTTTAAATAAAATTGAGTTTACCCTCTAATGGGTTTTCATCCAAAATGTTCTAGAAACCCTAAGCATGCCTGTAAATAGTCTATCACAATACAGCTAGGATTTGTACTGCTGCTTATTTGGTTAAGAGAGGCTGAAAACCTTTCTCTATAAAACTATACTAGGGCTTCTTAGAATACTCTGAGTGCTTCCTAAACTTACCTAAATTGGCTGTTAATGAATTCTCCACAGAGCAATTCTTGAAGCATTGTTTTGAGGTCTTGGTAACCCTGCAAATTAGAAATGCATCTGGAATGAGGCATGTCAGAGTGGCAGATTTAAATCTAGTAAGGGCAAGTAGTAACAGTGAAGATGCTATCCTGATTATAAATCATGGAGAGATTAGGTATTGTCTTCAGGCTTGGTGCTGTTCTTGTTTGTCAGCCATATAGCTGTTGCTATAGTCAGACCTTATTTTTGCCACATAGACAGTTAAAGAACAAATAATGATTAAAAGCTTGAACTCCGTGACAAAGGAGAGCAAAAGTTAGGCAGCTGCTTAAATGTTGAGTATAAACTTACAGCTATGTGGTGCAAAACTAATGCTGAAAAGTGTAAAAGGTATTATACTTTAAAAACCACAGTAACATAACACTAAAGACAGTAAACAGATAGAAATACTAAGATTTTGGTTCCTTAGTAGCTCATTTAATGGATATCATGAATGAACTAAAATTCTTGTTTGGAAATTTAGGATATTGTTGAGCATTTTGCTTTAAACAATTGACCCAAGTACAAGTTTTGGGTTTTTTCTATTTGTTTCTATTCACATTTCTGTTCATTTTCCTTGGCTGTTCATTTTTACAATTTAGATTCCTTCTGGAAATAAGGCAGATAGTATTACTATTAGGAAGGATTTAATTTTCCAGTACACGGAGTTTCCAGTTTTATCGTTTTTGTAAATTCTGGTGTGGAATGGTTTGATGCCCAGTATTAGTTCTTGTTTAGTGAATCACAGAATCATAGAATGGTTTGGGTTGCAAGGGACCTTAAAAATCATCTAGTTCCCACGCCCCTGCCATGGGGGAGCTCACAGCCCCATCCAACCTGGTCTTGAACACTTCCAGGGATGGGGTATCCACAGCTTCTTTGGGCAACCTGCTCCAGTGCCTCATGGGCATCACACTACAGAATTTCTTCCTAATATCCAATCTATGCCTACTCTCTTTCAGTTTGAAACTATTCCCTGTCACTACATGCTCTTGTAAAAAGTCTCTCTCCATCTTTCTTGTAAGCTTCCCTCAGGTCCTGGAAGGCTGCAGTTAGGTCACCCGAAAGCCTTTTCCAGGCTGAACAATCTCAATCCTCGTAGTCTTTCCTCATAAGAGAAGTGCTCTAATCCTCTAATCATCTTGGTGGCCTGCTCTGGACTTGGTCCAACAGGTCGATGTCCTTCCTGTGCTGAGGACCCCGGAACTGGATACAGTGCTCCAGGTGGGATCTCACCAGAGCAGAGCAGAGGGACAGAATCACCTCCCTAGACCTGCTGGCCATGCTGCTTTTAATGCAGCCCAGGATACAATTGTCTTTCTGTGCTTCGAGTGCACATTGCTGGATAATGTCCAGCCTCTCATCTACTAGCACCCTCAAGTCCTTCTCCTCAGGACTGCTCTCAGTCCCTTTTCCCCCCAGCCTGTATTGATACTGGGGGTTACCCCAACCCAGGTGTAGCAGTTTGCACTTAGTCTTTTTAAATCTCATGAGATTCCCATGGACCCACTTCTCAAGCTTGTCCATGTCCCTCTGGATGGCATCCTGTCCTTGAGGTGTGGCAATCGCACCCTTCAGCGTGGTGTCTTCTGCAAATTTACTGAGGGCGCACTCAATCCCTTCATCTATGTAATTAATGAAGATTTAAATAGCACTGAGCCCAGTACGGACCCATGAGAAACACCACTGGTCACTGATGCCACTGTCCAACCACTTTCTTATCCACCTAACAATCCACTCCTCAAACCTCTCTCTCCAGTTTACAGAGAAGGATGTTGTGGGGGATCATGTCAAGGGCTTTACAGAATTCCATATGAATGACATCTATAGCCCTTCTCTTTTCCGCTGCTGTAGTCATTCCGTTGTGGAAAGCCACTCGGTCAAGCAGGACTTGCCTCTGGTGAAGCTGTGCTGGTTGTCCCAGATCACCTCCCTGTCCTTAAAACGCCTTAGCAGAGCTTCTAGTAGGGTCTGTGCAATGATGATTCCAGGCACAGAGGAGAGGTTGACAGGTCAGTAGTTCCCCGAGTCCTCCTTTCAACCTTTTTAAAGATGGGTACAATGTTTCCCCTTTTCCAGTCACCTGGGACTTCAACTAATTGCCATGGCTTTTCAAGTATCGTGGAGAGTGTCTCAGCAACTACATCAGCCAGTTCTCTCAGTACTCTGGGGTGCATCTCATTGGGTCCAACAGACTTCTGTACATTCAGATTCTTCAAATGGTCATGAATCTGATCTTTGCTTACAGTGGAAGGGACTTTGCTCCCTCAGTCCCCTTCCTGCTGTCCATCCACTCAGGAGGTGAGGGAAGAGAGTCGGCCATTGAAGGCTGAGGCAAAAAGTTGTTGAGTACCTCAGCCTTCTCAATGCTGCAGTTTTTCAGCCTTGTTTATCAGAGGGGGTACACCTCCTTTGACCTTCCTTTTCTGGTTAACATATCTGTAGAAGCCCTTCCCGTTATTCTTTACATCCCTTGTCATGTTAAGTTCCAGATTTGTCTTGGCCTGCCTCACCCATTCCTAAAGAACCAAGCTTCACCTCTATACTCTTCCCAGAGTACCTGTTCCTGTTTCCTCTGCCTGTGCATTTCCTTCTTGCCCTTCAGTCTGACCACCAGTTCCCAACTCACCCATGCTGATCTCTTGCCTTCCTTACCTGATTTCTTGCCCATGGGTATTGCCAGCTTGTGTGCTCTATGAAAGACTTCCTTAAAGATACGCCAGCTCTGATCTGCTTCCTTATCCCTGAGGGCAAGGGCAGTTTCCTAAGTGATCCCGTTGACTATCTCCTTGAAGAGCTGGAACTTTGCTTTCCATAAGTTTAGGGGCCTAACTTTACCTGACTCATATCCCTCAGGACTGCAAATTCCACTGATGCATGATCTCTACAGCCCAGGTCTTGATGTCGCAGATTAGCTCATTTATTTGGTGCTCATCATGTCCAGTATCACATCCTCTCTGGCAGGGCTGCTGTCACAAGAGCCTGCGGGCACGATGCCTCCTGTAGCTGGAGCAGGAAAGCTTTGTCAATAGGCAACCCTTAGTCAGGGGCCTGTAATAAAAACCAACCACAAGGTTCCCTTTGTTGCCTTGATCTCTGATTCTTACACACAGGCTTTCAACCTGCTGGTGGCTGTTTTTCAGAGGCAGCTCTTCACACTCAAACCACCTCCTGATGTAGAGAGCAGCCCCTCTGTCTCTCCTTCCTCCCCTGTCTCTTCTGAACAGCCTATAGCCATTGATAGTCTCACTCCAGTCAGGAGTGAGACTAGCTCCAGTCAGGAGCTTCAGTAAGGCAACAAGACCATAACTTTCCAGCAGCACAGTGGCTTCTATGTCCTCCTGTTTGTTGCCCATGCTGTGTTGATGTGGCTATAGAATACAGAACTGTCATTTATAGTGTGTTCCACTGCTGTATATGAGCTATGACTGATAGGAGTAAATTTTAGTCTGGAACTGGATGGTTGAGACCTTACAAGTATGTGTGCTGATAGCTAGAGAACCATGCACTTAGAGTGCAAGATAACTTCTGGGATTAATTAATTCAATTCATATTTCTTAGTATTTATGTTTTAGGCTGTAACCCTAGTTTATTCTATGATGCTGAGTATTTCCATGACATAACTGTTTGGACATACACATAGTATACCAGGGAACAGCTCCATCTGAAAAACAATGTTTCTAAATCATGCGGAGGAAAGAAAGATGGGTGGAGGATTCTAGGTCAGTGTCTTGATCTGGTTCATTGTGCAGCTTCTAGGCAGCTCTTTAGCACCAGTGACAGTGATGAAGAAAGGTATCATGTAAAAGGAAAAAAGCAATTGAGTAAAATTTGCTTATGGTGGTGTAAACATCAGTACCACAAGTCTCGCTGTCGTTGCTGTGTCTATAGGGTATCTCAGTGAACTACTAATGTCTGCTAACTGAACAACAGTTCTGAACTGAACACAGTTCTGAGTTGTGGAGGGCTGGGCAGAGTTCCTTCCTCCTTATACCGCACTATGGAATAAGGGTCTGGAGTTTTCCTTCCTTCCTTTTTTATTGTCTTTAACTAGTAGGAGCACACTTTATGGTCAAAATTGTTTTCTTTCCCTTCTGAAAGGTCCTCTGGTCTTTTCAAAATTATGACAGAGAATAATGTTGAATGGTGTTTGAATAGCAGCAAGGTTTAAAACTAAAAGTTACTTGTGCCCACTGATTACAGCGGTTCACTGACCCCACAGAAGTTCCTCAAAAGAAAAAAGGGAATTCCATCCAGAAGCTTTAATACAGTAGTGGTTCCCTGGTATCCTTCTATAGTTCTTCCACACCTAGACTCCAAGCTCAAAACCCTAATGACAGAGTTGAAGTATTGTCCACACTGCATCTTCATACAGGCTTCAGTGTTGTCTTTTCTCAGTGAGAGTGCCAAAGCTGTGAGTAAACAGTTAGGTCTCACTGACCCTTAGCAGCCCCACGTGGCCCTCCATCCACACCACCTGTCCATGGGCCCAGGATCCCCATTTCAGCCTTCAATCTCTGCCAGTTTCTATGCCAATTTCCAGCTCAGCTACGTCAGTTACTGTGCCTGGCCATGGGTCTTGCTGATCTGGACTGACTCGCAGACTGACTTACCAGCATCATCACTGTAGAACTGCCCAGAAATCATTCAACTGGGTCCTGACCCTGGCAGCTGTCACTGGACCTGGTTCTAATCTGAACCTTTAAATTGATTACCCAGCCTGACCTCAGACCTGCCTCAGCGCCAGGAACTTGCTGTTCGTCTGGGCTCTTAGTTGAACCCAATTACACCTAGGCCTGCCCTGCTTCCTCATTCAGGGGCAGGTGTGCTGGCTGGTGATGCTCTTGCCCTGTGAGCTATGACATACTTGGCTTGTCCCTCTCCACCTCTTAGAGAGTCGCTGGCCATTGCTGCACTCAGTGCAAGCAACTGTTATTTTAATGCAAAAGAATGGGTAAATTTAAGATCTTATTCATACTGTCATAAGGGTTAGGTCCAGAATAGAATCTAGATTCTATTCCACACAAGGTGCTAATTGCTATAATTTATTTATTCATTTGCTAAATAATCCTCCTGGGTATTTTGTTGGTAATCACCAGCTGAATCCTGAAGTTCATTGTATTTGTACACTAAAATAGCCACTAGATCCTATCTAAACAATGGTTTAGAAGAAGGGACAATGGAAACGTAACAGTTTAGCGCTATCAAGGTAAGTGGATATGTTTCTGAATGGTGTTCAAATGAGTAAAGTAGCTATGTATTTCTGTTATGTACCTATTCTTTAGTGGAGCGTGAATCTATGGAAGTGGTAGTAACAGCTGTTCTAATGGCACAGAGATGAGAAAATGTTCTCTTAGGAGAAAGTTACATTACAGTCCCATAGCTGGGCCAACAGCATGATGCATTTAAGAAAAACAAGATTTAGTTACTTCTCTAGCTGGGGTTGCTGTCAGAGAAAGGAGTAGGCTTGTTACAGTTAATATTCAAGTCCATGTAGGTATTTCTGTCACAATGCAAAGCCAAGGAAGAAACCGAAGATGGATGCAGTAAAATAGTGATGATCATATTTGACTCAGTGTTTTTGCTTATTGTTAGATAACTTAATGACATAGAATTCAGTTTGGTAAAGGAAAGGACCTTACTGTCACTTCAGATTTTCCAGGTTTCAGAGACTTGCAGACAGAGCTACACTGAAATTTTTTGAGGGGCACAGGCAATTAAATCTATACCAACTTTTTGTATGGCAGCAAATAGAAATAAAAATAATGTTTAAAACAGTGTGGTTTTTTAGTAAAGTTAGTTTTGTTATTTTCAAGGTCTAGATTGAAGAAGGACTATGATGACTTTAAAAGACATCCAGACCATGATAAATTTACCAGAGAATTGTGGAGTAATGATGAAAGTGAAGTTGATTCTGGCAAAGAATCTTTTGCAGTAGTATGCGGTAAATCATCAGAGTCTGCAGAACATATAGAAGTTCCCAAAAAAGATCACTCAGACAATGGTAAGCATTTACTGGAATTCAGGAGCTTGAACTTGATTCAGGAGCTGAATCAAGGTGATTTGGGAACTTAATTTTTCCATATGAGCTTGTGTCCTGCTTTTTACCTTAACTACTACTGTGATAATACCAAAAGAGCTTGTGGTCTGCATCTGTCGTATGTAGACTTGAAGAGGGCAGACATGACCAAGATGAAAATTCTGCTTTATTCAAGTGTTTGCCATTTCTTTTTGTGCTTAACTATTTCTATGATAACATAGTAGACTTGTGTGGTATTTACTTTTATGGTGGGTTGACCTTGGCTGGCTGCCATATGCCCACCCAGCCCATCTGTCACCCCTCTTCCTTAATGGGACAGGGAGAGAAAACAGCGTAGAAACGCTCAAGGGTCAAGATACAGACAAGGGGGATCACTGACCAGTTACTGTCACAGGCAAAACAGACTCACTTGGGGAGAATTAATTTCGTTTATTGCCAATTAAAAATAGAGTAGAATGGTGAAAACCAAATACAAAAGCTAAACCTGCCCCCCCTTTCCCATTTCCACCTTCTTCGAAGGCTCATCTTCCTTCCCAATTCTTCCAACTCCTCCCCTGTCAAGTGGTACAGGAGGGATCGGGCCTGGGGATTGAGGTCAGTTCATAAGAGTTAGTCTCTGCTGTTCATTCCTCCCCTCTGCTCCAGTGTGGAGTCCCTCCTATGGGCTCTTTATGGGCTGCATCTTCTTTCAAGCCATATTCACCTGCTGTAGAATGGCATCCTCCACAGCCTGCCATGTTCCAGCATGGTCCTTCATGGGAGCCGGTCAACCTGCTTGATCATGGGTTGCAGGGGAATCCATTCCAGTGTCTGAAGTGCTTCTTTCCCCTCCTTCACTGACCTTGGTGTATACAGGGTTGTTTTGCCTACATTTTGTCCTTACTGTGTTCTGTCACACCCTTCTGCGAAGCATTTTCCACGGGACATCACCAGCTCGGCAGACAGGCTTGACCATGTCCTGCAGTGGATCTGTTTTGGAGCCAGCTGTGTCTGGCACAGGGCAACTCCTGGCCTCTGCCCTCATAGAGGCCTCCCTGCTGCCCCACACTGCCAAAACATGGCCCTTCTGTCTGCCGGGCACCCCTGCCTGCATCCTCAGCCATCTTATCCACTTCATGCATCCCCTGCTCACTGTCTGGTCTAGCTTGATGCTCAGTATGAAACTGGGCATTCACATCTTTGTCCCACAGGCACCCCACCCTCACAAGTCCACCTGTTCTACCAGCCCAGACCCCAAGCCCTCCTGCTTACTTGCTAGTCTGGCTTGAAGTTTAGTAGTGAATACACACACACTACCCCCCACATGCACTGGATTTGAGGAGGATACAGACATTCACCCCGCAGCAGATTGCACCAGACAGACAGGCTGTGACCTCTTGCAGCCATCCTTGCAGCTCCCCCTTCCTCTGCGCATCCCTTCATGGATTTGTATAGCTCTACCAATTTCCTCACCCCTCCCAGCCCAGTCTCCCAAGATCTCCCCTGGTTTATAATCATATCAGGTTCAAAGTCCAGGTTGATCTTCCTGCAAGGGGCATATGCAGTTTCTTGATAGCCCATCAATCGGTGTGATTGGTGACGCTGTTTCTTGTCATTGTCTCCATTTTTATTTTGTTAGATCTGTGTCTCTGTATATCTTTTTTTCCTGGCTTCTCCCTTTTTCCCTTCAAAATAACCTTACTGGAATAAACATTCTTATATTCTCACATGCCATTAACAATTAATGTGAATGACCAGGTTTGGTTTTCCTCACTGTCTCCCATTGCCGATCAGGTTTCAGTTCCTGAACTGTTTTTGTTTATTACTTCCTCCTTTCCTTATTACCCCCTTTTTTCATTGAAAAAGATCCTTGACCAGATTCCCCTAAAGAAGCAGACATTTCCTTCCATGTGCTCTTGCAAATATTGCCTTTAGGTAGACACTATAAAATTGTTTCGGTTTCAAACATGTAAAATGCAGTTTCTGTTTTAATATCCTTGCAGATGAAATGAAACTATTAGAGATGAATTTACCTGCAGGAAAAAACAGAATTCTGAAAAAAGAATCAGCTTCTAAAGAAATCCAGAAGACACTGCCCAAATGCATTAAACGACAGTTCAAGCAAAATAGTTGTCTGGATCAAAGCACTAATGAACTCTCACCAAGGAAGAAAGCTAAGCTGAGCACTGTTGAGACTGTAGTCCAGAGTTCAGAAAGTAGCCTGCAGCCGGATAGTTGTTTAACTGAGCTAAAACAATGTGAAGGATCAAGTTTAGAGTTTTTTTCCTTGACAGATCCTACAACATCAGTATCAAACTTTCTGAAAGGGACCAAACCCATCCAGGCCTTGCTTGCCAAGAATACTGGGAACAAAGTGACCTTAACAAATCAACCGTCGCCTCCCCCAGACATAAATGTATCGACTTCTGAAAAGTCAGTTTTACCACCTTTGGAATCATCAGTGATCAAACCAGCATTGCCCTGCCAGGCCAGTTCAAAGACTCCCTTACAAATGGTATACAAAATGCCAAATGGCCATTGTGTACCAATAGACCTTCATAACAACTCAGTGAAAATTCAAATGCAAACTGTGACTGACCCTAAAACTGGAGAAAAAGTCATGCAACAAGTTCTTATTTTACCTAAGAATTTTCTTCTTCAGCAGCAGGAAGGAAAAATTGTGTCCAAGGACGTTCAGCCACTACAACAAAAATCATCTGAGCTGCACTGTACATCTTTACCAAAAGTGTCAAATATCAGTGTTTCTTTAACACCTGTTCTGGTGACAGGCTCTGCAAATACTACCACTCAGTCACCTACTACAATTTTTAGCAAGAATATTACCCACTCGTCACAAGTGTCCGGTCCCATGAACAATACACTATCATTGCCTGATGTAACTTCAGCAGGTAACTTACTATCGTCAAAAATTAAGGTGAACCAAACTGAAACTGACAAAATCAAGACTACAGTTTTGACTGCTACATCCCCTGTGTCTTTGACTTCATCTACTCCTTCCACAGCTAGCCAGTCCTTGATACCAGCAACAGCATTAAGTGGGTCTGCGAACACTGATTCTGCCTGTCATAGTCTTGCATCGCAGCAGCCAACTGACTCCTGTGAAACTAGGCAAGAGTTGAAGACTGTATGTGTAAGAGAATCGCAATCTATTCTGGTCACAACACGAGGCGGAAACACAGGCATTGTTAAAGTGCAAACAAACTCAGACCAAATTTCACCTAGTAGTTTATCTTCTAGTTCAGTTTTCACTTACACTTCTCAACTTCAGGCCTTTCTTGTACCAAAAACCACAGCATTATCATACTCTACTCTTCCATCTCTAGCAACAGCCACATCTGGTTTCCCACATACTGGACAATCATCTGTTTCTGGATTTACCCCCTCAACAGCTTCTTCTGTTAACATTCCAGCTTTCCCAGCTGATTTTACCCAGGCAATGGAGAAAAATATCAAATTCACACTACAGCAGCCTCCTGTTGGGCACACTTCAGGTCAAGTAATAGAGAACTCCTGCTGTGTGTCCTCTCCTTTATCTTCCATTTCATTAGCTAGCAATGTGATGTCCACAACTCCAAACAGTCCTGTTAGTGTGACTAGCACTGGACAAAATAACACTGTCGTAACTCCAAATTCTTCTGTACAGCATCAAGGGGATACTAAAACCAAAAAAAATTCTGTTATACAGTCTGAGTCTAATTCAGCAACAAGTGGGGATTTAGTCAGTGGTACTCCAGTCCAGAAATTTACATTAGTTACAAATTCACCAATTTTATCTCCCTCTGGAGCGTCAGGAGTCAGTATTATACCCTCTCCAGCATCCACTGCTGTTAATGCTCAGAAACTGGTTTTTGTTAACACACAAATTGCCAGTGGCCCATCAACCACCAATCTAGTTGCAGAGTCATTGAGACAGAACCTTCCTTCTTCTCTAACCAAAACCTTTGTTAATGCTACAGAGCAACCACATTTGGTTTTGATCCCATCTACGATAGGAGCACCAATAAGAATAAATTCATCACCAACTATTGCTCAAGTAAAAGATGTAAAAATTGGACTAAATATAGGTCAGACCATTGTAAATACTAAAGGCAATGCACAGGAGGCCCCACCAGTTAATATATTGCATTCTACCATTTCTAAAGGAGAAGACAAAAAAAGCCTTGGCTTGGCACTGTCTTTGACAAGTAGCAGTACTGTGGTTCCTGCTCCAGCTTTTGCTGTGTCAGCTAATGAATCTGTATGTGTTGCAACAAAAGCTGAAAATGCCTTTACAGTAACAATGGCACATGCATGTGTAGAATCTGTTTCAGTAGCACCAAGTGGGACTACTTCTAGGACACAGTCCACTGTCTTGACTGGTGGCAATGACCCCTCAAGAATAAGGCCAGTTCTGGGTAATCGACTTTGTACATCAAATATTGGAAATATGGGTATATCAACTGTGAAAACAGGACATCTTGCTTCATCTGTGCTGATTTCAACCACACAACCAACAGTATCTCCTCAAAACTTAGCATCTGCTTTGCAATTTCCATTCATTAGCTTGCCTGGATCTGCAGCCGCCCCCCAAAAGGTGTTACATACAGTTCCTCAGTTAGCAACAGTTCCAGCTCCTCTTCTAGTATCAAAAAACCAGTTGCCCACGCTGCCTCAGTTTCAGTCATCAGGAACTTCAGCTGGTATGTCAAGTCACACAGGTATTCACAAACCTCAGAGTGTGTTGCCCTCTCCGTCACCAAATACAGGTAAAGTCGTTAGCTTTCCCAGTTCCTCTACCCTACAATGCCAGCAGGTGCCTCTCAGTACAGAGAAAACAAGTCATGATTACACTTGTGCTTCTACTGCTCAGATGTCTTCAGCTTCACCAGCTGTAACAAGCAAAACCGGAGGAGGTCAGTTGAATGAATCTTGCATTCAACAGAAAATAGTCATTAACACCTGTATGCCTTTGGCACCTGGAACTCAGATAATGATTAACGGTACTCGTTTTGTTGTTCCACTGCAAGGCCTTGGAGCTGGCAGCCACGTTCTTCTTCTCTCCCGTAATACGAAACAGACTCCTTTAACTGTTAACCATGGTCAAGAGGCTCAAAGTGTACCAATTGTTAATCCAATAACCTCAAAAATCATCTTAGCACCAAGTAATTCATTAAGTTGTCAAATATCAAAACATCCTTTGAAAAGCTCCACGAAAATTATGAACTCTTTTGGTGCCGCAGATGCTTTACCCATCGTACATGCAACGCCCCAGATATTTAGTACTCCAGCTAGCTCATGTACTCCACTGTCCGGGGTAACACTGTCTGTGTCTTCAGTGACAAAATCTCCTATTAATGTTGTAGCTACATCTTCTGTTGTTTCTGCCGTTCATCCTCCGAATTCTCATTTGCCAAGCAACACTTCAGTGTTTCACTTAGACACTTCTATCAAAAAACTGTTGGTCAGTCCAGAGGGAGCCATTTTGAATGCTCTAAATACTCCAGCACCAAAAGTTTCTCCTCTGTCTTCATTGCTGCCTCCTGTTGTTGTGTCCACAAGCAGAAATCCTACCACTGTCTTCCCTGCATCTCAGTCATCTTGCCTTGATAAACCTGACAAAGCTGCATTCTGAATTTACTGCAAATGAGCCACTTTGAAATTCTGGGGCATTCCTCAGACTTTGGAAGTTGTAACTATTGGATAATTTCTTACAACCAGTTGATTTACTCAACATTACTTAAGGTTGCAGTTCTTTCCTGTTCACCTGTGGGGATTAAGAGGAAGAAAAATTTTAGTTTGTCGGAAGTTTTCAGAGAGTTCTTTAGTAAAAAGGTCAGAAATGACCAATGAGTTCATTAAACAGTTTGGAGAAATCTCACCTTTTGCACATGTTCCATCTTACATTATGGACTGTTTGCCAGTGTGTTTTTGACAGTATATGTCTTCTTTTATTTGTCAAATTTATTTTTTATCTGTTTCTTTAGAAAAATATTTATGCATTGTAAAAATGCAGTCTATAGAGTAGAATTGTACATATTCCTGAATTCCTAACAGTCCATACTAAACAATATGTACAAAGAACTATGCTGTCTTATTTATGTTTGGTTTACATAGTGTATAGTTTTTTAAGTATTTTAGTAACTTTGGACCAGTGTACTGTTTAGCAACTGCAGAAGAATCTGCATATAATAAATCAAGTTGCTTTACTGCTTTGTGTTGGCAATAGTTAAAAATATGTGTATCTGTTACACCGTGGCAGAATACATACATACATACATACATACGTATATATATATATGTATATATATATATTTGTATATATATATGTGTGTGTGTGTATACACACATCTTTCTTTTGGTGTGTGGTAGAATGAAATTATTTAACCTCTTTTGCTTTTCTCTGCTTTTACATTTCACATGATTTAGCAGGAGTTGGAAGGAAGGCCTTCTTGTTGATCCTTCATCCGTTCTTAATAAATGTTTGGTTATATTGCCTAAATAACTCCAGTGATGTGGTAAGGCTACAAGTGGCTTTTCAGACACCTGTCTAAGTCACACTGGTTGCTGTTAAGGACTAACATGTTTTGTCTTAAAGCTCATAGATCTGTTGAACAGTTTGTTGCTCTCTTTTTTACAGCCTTATATGCATTTCCGTATGTCTGATGACTGTAACAAGATCACTTGTTAGTCTTCTATCTAGCCATAACAAATGACCCATTTTTTTTCACCAGTTGTACTTTCTAGATCTGTATGTTTTTCTTTAGCTTGTAATTGGTCTATCTTGAAGGATAGCACTAAAGCATCACATAATATTAAAGGAAGCTTTATTAATGCTTTGGGGATAATAATATGTTACAGAAACCTTCCTTTTTTATCCAGTGTTTTCAGTATTTGTTGACTTAGTTTCAGCTTTTGATCTGATAAAAACTTTTGGGTTATTTTCTGCAGATCTGCTGAGTTTACAGCTACCTGCTGCAATGCTCATGGAGATAAGTTTTTAGGTATCTTTTGAGATTTTGCATATAAAGAAAGGGTGCTCATCTTATTTTATGGAAGATGATGATTTTAGAATTGCTATCTTTGTATGTGTTGATTTTTTGTAGAGTTTGTTTGGTATTTTTTAGAAACTAGAAGGGAAGATTTCAGAAGAATTTAAAAATGATAATTGCCTTTCTAATAGCTATGACTTCAAAGGGGATAAAAGCTTACATATCTGTATATAGCAGAATTCTTAGGCTGAGTTTCAACAAGATGAAGCTTCAGCCTTTGCTCTTCATCCTTTTGAATTTTCTACTTCCCTTCCCCTTTTGCTATACTAGTTTGGCAGTTTGGCTATTGAGTTGACGAATAGGACCACAGCTTACTCACTCTGTGTCGGCTGCCCTTTGTATTGTTCTGAAAAGTAGCCTGGTAGCTAGTTTGCTAGAGTTTTGGGAAAGTGGGGGGAAGAAAGGCTTGTGCCTTCCATAGGGACCTTTCCTTTTGCACTAACTTAAAAAATTGCATTGGGAAATTGCATCTTTCCATCTTATCTCAGGGCTGGGACAGATGGAAGCTGTCAGTTTTGGGATTAGAGAAGGTTTGTTTAAATTTTAGGAAAAGCTACCTGCTACACCTTTGCTACTTCTCATTAAAGGCATTTTGTAATGGATTTTGAAAACACCTAGCAGTAAGTATGTCTGTCCATCAGAGTTCACAGTATTAAGAATTTTTAAATCTGACTGCACATTACAGTTGAATGCTGCAGTGACTTTTCCAACAGAGGAAGATGGCAGAGAGTGGCAGTTTCTTCATGGACATTTTACATACTCTGAAACCATATATACCAGAAGCTCATTTTATTTCCATTTCACTGGTGGAACCATGGGACTCACTTTCTTGGATTTTTCTATTTTCTTGCAATGGCTGTTTTTTCCTTTTTTTTTTTTGTTCATTTAGGTTTGTTGTAGAGTGAATATCTATGCTGTTTGAAAAGCTCAAGACTAGGTTCTGCTGTTGCAGATATTCTTGATGAGAGAAAAAAATCTTGCATGACATTTTTCTGCGTGCTGATGTAGTAGAAAGATTTATGCTATAATTGATTCTAATAAAGAGAGAAGTTAGAAAAGCTGAACTGAAAAACTCAGGACTCAAGTAACTTGCCTGAATGAATTCAAGAAATTTTCTGAATTAATATGATAATATTCTATGATTTTTATAAATATTGTATAATTTGGAAGACATGTACTTTACAACATGAAAAGTTTGAGTCAGTTTAATTAGAGTTTCGTGGACTTTTATTCTCTATTAGACATGTGTTCAGATTCCAAGTCCTATTGGAGAAGGACTTGAGACTGCTGTGTAATGGGCTTGCATCATTCATTATGTAAAACCAAATTTTAGTAATTTTTGCAAATAAAATTCCTATTCCCAACACTGTTCTCCAATAATATAAATGTCAGTCAGAGTTAAGGTTTTCTTTCAAATGCAAGTAAATAAACATTGACACTTTGCTATGTACCTTTTACTCTCTACCAAATGTATCATGCTACTTATAGCACAAAAAGCACTTTGAACAAGTGGATTATATTCACAGACACAATGAAAAAGCAGAACTACCTGCATCTTTACTTGAATTTTAAAAGACATTTAGTTACACATAAAAACAGATATATAAATCAGCCTTTTAACAAAAGGTGTTCAACTTTTCAGTGCTTGTAAAATGCCTTACTTTTACATCCCTTCTGATATTATTTACAACTATTCATACACTATATTATATACAAAACTTTCGATTTATAAATTACTTTGAATATTTTGAATTATATCCTTTATATTTACCTAAATTAACATGTTCTGCACAATAATTTTGGTTTGCTCTGAGTAGAAAATTACACTTATTTTGCTTCACTGTTCAAACCCACATCTGTGAGCTGCCATTTTCTCCTAGGGATTCTGCCCCTGCCACACTAGGAACAGTTAAATTTCGCGTGTATTATTTGTTATAAAAGTATCTGTTCAAACCAAGTGTGTTACTGTGAAGTCATTCAAACCCATGCTGATTCACTGTGTGACATAGCAAAGGGTACAATGTGAAAAGGAAAGCAAAAATTCTCCTGATAAGTGAAGAGAAAATAATTTGTCTCATGGGAGTAGGTCAGAAAATTACTAAAAGCTAGCATTTGAAGGGCATCCATACCCTTACCACAGAGTTAGTTTCATAGTTGGTTTTCCTTCTATTTTGTGGTAGTGCAGAATTTCAATTGCCCAAAATGGTTTTAAATTAATTAATCATTTTTATTAAAGCACAGATGTTTGTTATGATGAAACTCTTTCCTTTAAAAAGAACAGCCAGAGGTGCTCAAAAGGACTCAAACTCATGTAGCCTGTTGTCTGTAAGCTGCACCTGAAGAGAGTTAACTGACTCAAAGTAGGATTAGTAATGCCGCATCAGACTTTAGGTCCATCACGTCTCTTGAGGCAGTCAACAGTAGCATTCCAAAAGAGCACAATTAACAGGCCTGAATAATCTTCTAGTATCCACTAATCTGTGAGCCAGAGTCTTCCTCATGCAGCTGTGTTTTATTTCAGTTTAATAGCTTTCAGTGTATTTCTCTTGATGAAATGGACCAATCCTTTCTAGAATTTTTGAACACATGTAAACAAACTGTTACCATCCACAGCACCCAGTGGTAAAGAATTTGTAAATAAATTTCCTTTTTGGTTTCAGAACCTGGCACCTGCTAGTTTCATTTGATGCAAATAATATTTATATTGTAAGATGCAATAAGCCTTTGCTGTTTAGTCATTTTTTTCCATGTGGCCTATGTAGACCTTTGCCATGTTGGTTGTCTCTTCTCTAGAATAAAGAGAAATAGTGAATTCAGTTATTTCCTATATGGAAGTAATTAGTTGCTGTCATTGTTGTGTGTGCCTTTTTCAGTTTTACTGTGTCCTTGTGGGATCAGAAGAGCGCATGTTCTAAAAGCACTGAATCTATTCAGCAGTGTGTTTATGTGTCTCATAATTATTTCAGTGTTTGCGGGTTGGTTTCTGACTATTATTTAGGCTTATACTAACTTTTTCGTAGAAATATTAATTTTAAACCAAATACACATCAGTATCAAATTCATTTCATCCTATAAAACTATACCACTTGCAGAATATCATGGCTGTAAAGACATGGTCTTTAAACCAGGCTATTGAAACCAGTGCAAGTCTGACACTCTCCCAGTTCCTGTGTTTGTTTGGTTTAGTTCTCTTGAAAATGTAAAAGGACAAGCAAAATTATTTTGATGATGGTTTTTTAATTCTCATTATTTTTATGCATAGAATGCAAGGTTAGGTCTGTATATTAGATGCATGGTCATTTTATACACATTGACATCCAGATAAAGATTTTTTAGTTGTTGAAGAGGCCACTTTATAAATGTGATACAGAACATTGTTATTTTAATATATTTTCCTTGAAACCACAGTGGCATAAAAACAAACTTTAAGATCTTTATAGACATGTATTTTCTTCATTTCTCAAAATATGGAATTGTTTGGTCAATAGACCTGGATGTCTGGCGTAAACTTGGTAACCAGGACACTTCGTTGTTTCATATGTGATTATTCCAGAAGTTCTTCAGAAAGTTCTTACAGTATCTTTTACTACAATCTCAGCTGAACTACACATGTTAAATGAAAATGGTATGTAAAAGCAGTGTAAAGGAAATGTAATTAATTACTTATAGTATTTCTTGAAATTATGTTTATTACACTGAAGGTCTATTAAAATATGCATAAATATGATTTTCCACCTTTTGCAGATGAAGGCAATGAAGTACTGAGTTCTCATAGCAACATGGAGGAACTGGGAATAGAATCCTTGGTCCCCTGAACTCCTTCCAGCATCCCATCCATTACTAAAGGTTAGACAACTAGATTACTGCTTTGTTTTCCCCTATTTTTGCTTTTTACAAAGAAGAAAAAATTATTTAGAAAATTAAATTGTTTTTAAGAATGTGAGGGGCATTGACAGGTAGCATTTATAGAAATTAAATAGCATGGGAAAGCAAGATAGTAAAGAAACAACTGTGATTTTTGTGATTGTCTTCAGTCTTTAGAACTTTGCTTGTCAATAATGATGTAGTAAAAGAAGACAATACTCTTCTTTAATTATTCATATTGATTCCATCTAGTAAATACACAAACATACGATCAGACTACTTTGGCTGGCAATAGGTCATCAGCACCTGGTACCAGCATATACGTTGAGATCCATCCAGATAATGTGCTGTTATTTGTAGAATCATTCTTCACTCTTTTTTTTAATCACATACAGCAGTGAAATAAAACATCAAAGAGGGATTAGTGACAGGGTATTACTATGTAGCCACAGGGCATCTTCCTTGTAATAAAGAAAGAGTGGAATTATGATGGATTCGATTTACACAGTATAAAAAGCAGGTATTTTTACTATTATAGTCAATTACTGAGAAGAAGGAATTGCTTACATCTATTTATAAAAACCCTTGTCAATTCATATTAGCAACACACAAATACTAAAATTATAGTAGTTTGAGGCTTGTCTGGCCAGTAATATATGGTTCATCTACATGCTATGCCTTCAAAATATTGTTCTTGCCTCTAGAGTGCTTTTCTGCAAAGTGATCTCAGAAAAACAAAAAGTGGGAGAGGCCTGTCTGGAAGTATTTTACTCCTTCCATGGCCTAAGAAATTGATGCAAAAGCATAATCTTTTGTTATAAACCAGCCCATATTTGAAAGTGAGCTTCTTTGGCACATGAAATGCCAGCGATGCATTTCATTACAGCAGTCCAGTCATTGTATGAGCTGCACCTTAAACTGGGCATTTGTCTCAGTGTAGTGGCCAGCAGAGAATGCTTAGTGGAAAGAACAAGAAATAAACAAATATGAATTAGTTTTCCCCAGTATGTACACACATCATCTAAAAGTAATTCCAGGAGAATTTTGTGAACTCAACCTGAGTTTGTCTGTGACATGAAAGAGCAGATTTTGCAGCCAAAGAATCAGGTACTGGAGAAAGGTGAGCAGTAATTCAGAGAAGCAGAGCAGAAGAAAAAATGACATAAAAGCATAAAATTGCTTCTCTGGTTTAAGAGGTTGTAGGAGAAGATAAACAGCTAAACAGAATCCTGCTAAACAGGAGAAGTTTTGAGTGAGGAGTTGACTGAAATATCATTGTTGTTCTTCCTGTTGGTGAGGCCAAAATCTAAGAAGTGTACATTATGTGGGCTGCATATTCCGAGACTTTAAAATGTAAGTAAGACAGGCTTATTAAATCTGGGTCAATACCAAAAATGTTCAGGAAGGGTTTTTCTAGAGATATTAAAATAGGAGTAATAGGCAGGCATCTAATACCTTCTAATCTTTGCAAGGATTCCTCTACAGGTGATTAATGGTCAGGGAATATTATATTACTATATCACTTACTATACGATTTTGTTGTTTTTCTGCAAATCCTGAAGCAGTTCCAGGTTTTTTCTGAATATGTTTACCAGATGAAAATCCTAAAATTCCTCCTGAAAACAACTGCACAAGCAAATCCAGCGCTGAACGGTATCTAAAAAGGGCAGCTGTTTCCCTCCAGAGTGTCAGGAGCAATGAGATGGTTGGGGTGTATGTGATGGTGTGCAGAAATAAAAATCAATTACTTCTGCCAAGGTAAGTGGGAAAGGACAAATTGATAGAACTTGGAAGATTAGACCTTTTTCTTAGAAGATGCTTTTCAACAAAAATGAGTCAGATCTTTTCCCTAATATCTACAAGAATGCAGTGGATGGTAATGTAAATTAAAAAAAGAACCAGGAGGAAGGAAGGCAGCTGTGTAAGCAGAGAACATGGCAAACATGCAGCAGAGCCGTCTGTTTCTCACATCCAGAAATGAAAGTTAGCAGAGTTGGAAAGACCTTACAGAATTAGTATTGAAAGACCATAGTATTTATATTAGGCCATCACTCTGTCTTATATTGATTTGAACTCAACTCATGTTTGATTTTTAAAAGCAAGAAAGTGTACTCTTATGTCACATGAACACAGAGATGTACACCAAAAAAGTAATTGATATTTTACCAATATTAGACATAAACATGAATTGAAATAGTCTGGCAATGTTATATTTTACTGAAAAATGGCAAGCAGTATGGCTAATACTAATACAGTGCTTAAGCCAAGATAATATACATACATCCCCAGCTACAGCAGGAGTTAGGCTGAAGGAGATTGCTGAGGTGAATGTCACTGGACTATCTACTAACCAGCTGCAAATGCCATTCCTGTTACACTAGACTGGTGAGACTGTAAAATAAAATAAGTGCTTCCTGTGGAAAGTTCTTGGTACATTTTTTTTTCATAGCTCTCTGACATATGTGAAATATACACTTCTGGCTCATGGCTCGGTGTTTGCTATATGGTTCAGGATGCCAGAAGGATTGAATTTGTCAGGACCTGCTGCATTTTACCTTTGTGCAATGTCTGGGATGGCTGACCAATATTCTGGAATCTTTGAAGGCTACACTGGGGCTTGTAACTGCATTAGAAAGTAAGACCATACCAGGAATCCAAACATAAGACAATACAACTGCTAGTACCACTATAATACAGCAATCTGATCAAAACACGCTATGTTCATGAGAGGCCTCATTTTGAAAGTGTTCATTGCATCTTTATAAGGGTTGCATGCATAGCTGTAAGGTTGCTAACATCATCATGTACAGAAAAGCTTTCATAACAGTACATCTGCTAGTCTGATGGAAGCAGTTTAATGCAGACCAGTAGCAAGCAGAACTTCATTCTCCAACTATGATCAGCCACCTGTCTTCGTCACCATCCTGGGGGAAAACTCAAAATGCCCATGAATTTTTTCATTAGCTTTTTTTGATGGGAGAAAATAAAGCACAAATATCATCTTTGTTCAGACTTATAGTTGTTATAGAAGGCATCTGATTTTGGCCTGATTGCAAAGAGGGTAAAAAAAAGAGGAGCAGAAGGTATTTGACTTTTACACCTTCCCTGTTACATAACGACAATACCAGATAAATTATAAATATAAATTTTTGTAAGTAGTTGTTATTCTGGGGTCATATAACTATGTAATGTGAAAAACTTCCCTTGAAATTTGAAAACTCTATGCCACATTCTCCATGTGTCGTTGTTGAGACATTTCTGTGCATTTCTCTTTAAGGGAACAGGCTTCCTAGAAGGTTTTAACTTGTGTTTGGTAAAGTGCACTGTTATTGAGTGTAATACAGACAATACGTAAAATAGCCAGTTCTTGCAACATGGAGCTTTGGCAACTGCAGGTCTCTTGCTTTCACATTCTGACCTGTCTTGTATTGGTGTTTAGTTAATGGATCAGCAGCCAGACACTGCAGTGTACCATCATTGGGTATAGAGCCAGATTTGAAAAGTGAAATTTGCGGTGGTGTTCAGTGATGAAGTTTCCACCTATGTAATATAGTGCTCTGTGAACCTCTATTTCATGCTCTTATTTTAATGCAATTAAAATCTGAGATCACTGTCTAACTGTGTCTATTAAGAAAGAATACTGCTTTCACTGGGATTAAAAAGCAGAGAACTTTTCTGAAAACCAGAATAGGGCTTATGTATCTTTTAAGTATGTATAAATTCATGTCAAAGTGTAATAGTTCTAGCTCTGGCTGCTGAGCAGTTTTAACAATTTGACCTTGTGTAGTTCTGGAAATAAATTAATATTTCTACTTCGTCAGTGTTAACTTTCTTGTGAGCTTTTGCAACAGCTGGTAACACATTTAATGCTGACACTACTAAAAATGCGTGGGATCAAGTAAAGCTTTTTGAACTCTAAGCACTTTACTTCTCTATATTATATAATCTCTATGGAAATTAACTTTTTTCTCAACCATGAATGTGTATGTCAGTTCTATTCCACTGTAGCACTACACAGTCTTTTGAAAGGATGCAGCCTTAGGGTAGAGAGATCCAGAGCACAGAGTTGCTAAAGATATTAGCCTCAAGCTTTAGCTTACCAGTTCTGCAAAAAAATTAGTTAGACATTGTGTTCTACATCTCTAGTGCTTACTAGCTATAAGCTGGAATTCTGTATATTTTCCTGTGTATTCTTCTTCCTGTCACTAAACAAGTCCACAATTTTTTTCCTTAAGGTATATATTGGAAATGACAGAGGTAAGACAGCTCTTTGGGTTAAAATACCTCTCTAAGTTTTTAAATAAATATATCAACTAAATTTATAAAACCATGTATATAATCTTTTACTAGAATTACTGATATTTATTACCTTCCAACAATTTTATATAATCTATGTAAACATATATTAAATAATTTTTTACATATATATGTCTTATATATGCACCTTAAAACAAAAAAAAGCTTTAAACACACAGCAGATTTACTTGTGTAACATAAACTCCATATATTAGATACTATATAGATATTAGATATAATAAAAACATATATCTAATATAACATTTATAAACAATCTATAGAAACATCTAATCTAAAAAACATTTCAAAAAAAGCTGTATCATTATTTATCACCATCTGTGGAGTTTATGTTAGGCAAGTAAATCTGCCTTATGTTTAAAACTTTTTTTTTGTTTTAAGGTGTTTGTATTTGCGTATTTGGTGACAAAGAGCCAGATTCTTTACTAATAGCAGTTAATAATTGCTTTATGAAATTAGTTTTCTTTTGTTACTACATTTCAATTTAACGAATGTTGTACAGTTTTAGCTGCCTCCTGCTGTGAGATATCAGGCCTTATGTATAAATTTGTTGATCTGCATATCATCTTAAGAAATAACCTGGCAAATAAGCAATAACAAAAAAGACTAAGTAAAAAATAACTATCAAATCTATATAGCTAATATATGTGCATCACAGTTCTTTGTTTTTTATTACTGCTTGTGTTCTGACGAGCTGGAAAAATTAACATCTTTAAGTCTATTGTCTTCTGTATTCTTGGTAACATGGTTTTCGTGCATTTTCTCATATTGTTCCATCATATTAGAAACAGATGATATGTAAAGCTCTATATCTACAAGTTCTCTTGCTCCCTCACAAGACTGCCAGAAGAAAACTAGAGGTGATGTTGTTATACCCATTGACCGGTATGAAATAATGTGATCTCTAAGCGGTATTTTCTTGGTTGCCTGGATTGTGTTTTATAAGAAATTAATTTATTTCAGGTACGTAAACAGGTGAAGTGAGGTAAAAGCGTATTGTAAAACATAGTTGCTTTTTGGAAATTAATTTTAAAACTGTGGGTAAGGAAAACAGTCTGTAACAGGATATGTAGTCAAATGGCTTTGTTCATTTTGTGACAGATTCTTGTACATCACATTCCAAGGAATAGTTTATTTATATATTTTTTTAAAGGAAGGGAGACTAAATGAGAAAGATGAAAATAAAGGTGCCAGCGCTTTTTACTCTTGATTGATACTGAATAATATGTACTTACACTTGGTAGATCTATGAAGGATTTAAGATGCCCAGAGCATGGTGTATTAATCTGATCACAAGAAATGAAAAGCTTAAACCAAAAGCACATTCAGATTTATTGAGGCATTTCAAAAACCAGGTCTGTAACTAAGCGGTTTCAGCAACTGCTAATGAAAGCATGTGATTTCCTTTTTTTATGATTTTAGCTATAAGAAAGTTAAGCGTGTATGGGGAATTAAGAGGGAGCATGAAGAGTTTAAAATTTCATGTTATCATGGTGAATAAGGTGGTGGTGACTGATCTGCAGCAATTTTGTCATAAGCTGGTGGAGCATCAGGTACCTGTGGTAAGGAAAATGGGTGTGAGAGATTGAAAAAAACAATTGAGGTACAAGAATATGACATTAAACATGCAGCAAGCTATTTACCACTGTATTAGATATGGTTCAGTGACTTAAAATAGCTAAGCTCATTCATTATGTCTATTTTTTTGCTAGTATGTTTTCTGGTTTTGCGTCAGATTCATTTTATTGGAACTGTTCATCCGAAGAAAGATTTTTCAGTGTTATAAAGGCAGGATTTTTTTTTTTTTAAGATATGGGTGTTTTTATATTGGTAAATATAAATATAAATATTTTATATCGGATAAATATTGAAGCTTTTCTGTAAGAGTCTTGATGCAGGCATGTTGTCTTATTTCTATTGTTAAAAATTTGAGCAGCTTATTTAAAACTGATTATAAATTAGACTTTTCCCTATTCTAAAGCCATTTAAACACACCCATTACTTAACATATACTTATCACTCAGTTTAACTTTTTGACAGTTATAAGTTTGAATGTTCATCTCTCCATAATGATTAGATGAGCTAAAACCTTGAATTTTTATAACATTCCCTGACAATGCTTTTCAGAGTATAGTAATACTAGACACAGTCCATTTGTTGTTTGTCAGAATGGCAGAACACCTACTGGAAAATGTTTGGGTTTTTTTCATTATATTTCAGCATTCAGGTGTTAGATCATTCTAACAGATTGCATAATGACCATACAACTTTAGAATAAATGTAAAAGAAAGAAATGAATTTTTAAAAGAAGAATTCTAAACAGTACATTTTAAAAACCCTTTTCACAGTAAAACTTGTTCAAAATAGTACTTTCTAAGTTGATGTAGAGGCATTGAAGACTCTATCTAGAGAGCACACCCCAAGGAAGAAATCATTAATTGCCCATTTACCAATATTGTCTCACCGTGTCTTACTATGTTTAAGTAAATGAGACCTTGAGTTACAACTTACCACAGAATTAAAGTTTCTGTAGTCCTGCAGAGTCATTTTGCAGTCCAGTATTGCTCCCTCACGTACCACGTTTCGTGCTGTGCTCACACTAGAGCTTTTGCTCTGTGAGCATAACGAAACATGGGGAACATGAAAGGAAGAAGAGACTGTGAAGTTGGGGCAAATTATGCGTCATTTAATATTTGATAGCACATTTACAATATGTATTAGAATCTGGAATTAGGACCAGACACAATGCAAGTAAGCAAGTGAGACAATTTACCTATCACTTTTGGCTGTCTCTGCTGAGACATAGTCTTTCTTCTGTGTTATCCAATTACATTGCCAGAAAAATGAGCATCACATTTTTTAGGTCCAAGACTACTGCAGGAACTGACATCTTCCTATGTATCTGAATGCCTTCTCATTTTTATCCTACTTATTTCTTTCTTTAATCTCCAAACTTTTTCTTTTCTGTTTTCCCAACATTTCTTTTGTACACATTCTGTACTAGTTCTCCCCTAGCAAAAAAATTCTAAGAAAGATGTAATTTTCAAAACCAGAAAGTGGCAGTCAGCAATAAAAAGGAATTAAAAAGGAAATTGTGGTTTTGGCATGATGTACAAAACAGGCATTTGGTTTGATTTTTGAAGGGTTTTTTTGAGTATTACCTTCATTTTTGCAACAACTCACTATGAAAGTTCAGGTTTTATGTATTTTGCCAGATAGTATTGGATAGATAACTAGAAAGGGAATGGGACAGAGTTATGGAAAACAGGAAGGAAATGGATTTGCTGACTTAAATGAGAGGTGTGCTGGGTTTTTTAACTCCCAAATAGTCATATCTTTTTCAAAATATTAGGATAACTAAAAGATACTAAAAAGATACTAAAACAAAAATTTGGATAAAGCCTGGTGCGAGTACCAGTTGGGGTAGAGTTCATTTTCTTCTTAACAGCTGATACAGTGCTGTGTTTTGGATTCATTATGAGAATAATGCTGATAGCATAACGATGATTTGGTTGTTGCTCAGTAGCTCTTACTCTAAATCGAGGACTTTTCATTGTCTCATGCACTGACATCAGGTGCACATTAGGTACATGAGAAACTGGGAGGGAGCATGGCTGGGACACCTGACCTATACTGGCTAAAGGAATTTCCACACCACAGAACACCCTGCCCAGGATATAAATGAGGGAGTTGACTGGGAGGGGCCGAGTGCTGCCAAGGAGCGAGATGGGCGTTAGTCAGGGAGTGGTGAGAAGCTGTGTTGTGCAACATTTGTTCCTCTTGCGTTTTATTGCTCTCTCTCTCTCTCTTTCATTATTATCATTAGTAGCAGTAGTAGATTAGTAGATGACAATTATATTTTGTTTCAATTATTGAACTGTTCCTTCTTAACCCATGTTTACCTTTTCTTTCCAATTCTCCTCACCAGGGTGGCAAGGGGAAGTAAGTAAGCATGGAGCTTAGCTGCTGGCTAGAGTTAAATCACAAGTTTTCACTTTAAAGGATTAAAAAAGACCTCCCTTCCACAGGAGAGAGAGCAGAACTTCAAAAATAAAGCTTTCAGACTTCTAACAACAGTTGTTATGAGGATTGTACCTTTTTTTTAATATTTTCTTAGAAGACATGAAGTAAAATATTTTAAAAGTAATGTTTAGAAAACAAACCTCAAATCTGCCCCACTCTTTTTTGTAAATCTTAAAACTGCAAGTCAAGTTTTATAGAGATGAATCATGCATCATCTTTATGTGAACATATTTACTTAAGTTACTTGTAACAGTTATTCTTATTTTCTGCTTCCTAGATTTACTGTAAGCGCATCTGTCCTTATTTAGGGGTAAATCTTATGAGTAGTGAATATGTTACTTTTATTTAAATGAAAGGACACTGAACATGTCTTGGTTTTGTGTAAATATTAAATATAATGCTTCCTACGGATAATCTTTTCCCCTGATGTGTTGTGTAAAGCTGGGCAGCTGGCTTCATGTCCCTTTGCTTCTGCTTCCTCTTATCCCTTTGTCTGACTTGCAAGTTCTTGAGGGCAAGTTGTGTTTCATATTGTGTGGGTTTGCCTGTGACATATGTCAGTGTATGTATATTGCCTGAGCTGATGATGTCCTGTTACAGATTCGATGTTCTCTGCATTAATGTCCTGCAAATAAAGGTAATATGTGTCAAAATAATAGCATGCTAGAAAGTGAGCTGCCATGCTTACCCGCAGACTTTTATAGCCACTCCGTCTTTTGTAATACCAGCAGCCAAAGGCAAGCAAAGCTGCCAGCACCAAAATGAAAAGTCCAATGCCCAGAGCTCTGTTGGGAGAGCAAAACAAAATAATAACAGCACAACTAGATGCATTCTCCTGGGAGCATGAAAGATTAGAGCACAAGTTTGTGTCAGTGCCCTTTCATCAGAAGAAGGCATGGCGTAGAATTTACCTCAGAAAATGGAAAAAGTATCAGTAACTTCAGCAAGTCTGTAGATTTAGCAGTTAGCTAAATTCTCTGCCAAGTTCTTAATAATTTTAAAAGTAAGAAATACATTTCTTTGAAGATAATACTCTACTGCTGATTCTGAAAAGATACCTGCCTGAGAGAATGTGAAATAAATTAAATGCCACACCTGCAGAGATGCAGGTCATGTTTATTTGCTAAATTTATGTAGCCAGCAAGTATGGGGAAATATATCCTTATTGCATCATATTGCAATAAGGATATATTGGTGATGGAAGGATTTTTTGGATACATAAAACACTATAAAACCTTATTCGTTAAGAGCTCTGCAAGAATTTAGTTCTTGTTTCGTGACATGCTAGGCACAGTATTGGTGTCACTGGGTCATTTTAGGGAAAATACACTTAGCAAACTGTGCTGTGACATCCCTCCTACTGCTCAGTGGGGACTTCGGAGAAGCAGCATGATTCTGCTGTCTGTCAGCAAGCTGACAAAGTAATTGCAAGTTTCCTAGTCACAAACCCCCTTCCTTCTGTGTTAATAATCTCCCTGCTAAGACATATGGAATTCATTCCCCATTTTTTTTTTTCTTTCCCTGTTCAGGAACAGAAGAGTATGCAAAATGGTTAAAGGGAAAAAAGCATGGGGAAAAATATTAGTGTGAATCAGGATAAACCCATGCTAACATACTTCTATATATCTACTATCCAGTTGCCCTGCAGTAATTACCACCATGCTTTTGCATGAGTAGGGACTGAGTATGGGGTATGTGATTTACCAGAGACTTTTTGTATCTATTTGCTATCATTTTCACTGACTCCAAGTCTGATGGAGTGTTTCCTTGCGACCTAAGAAGCCTGAAAGAAGATGCAAACAGATTTGTGCGACAGAACAGGCTGCCTTTTTGTCTGAATTGCCTGTGTGCTGTCTGAAACACGAGCCCTTTGGAGACAAAGGGATTTTCTTTTTCACAAGTACCTGGATCTTACAAGTTGCTCCTGCCCCTTGAAGACTTTGTGTGGGCTGGAGACCCATTAAACCCAGGAACACAGCTAACAGCATTCACTTGCTTTCTGGTGCAACCGTGTTGCAGCTGATCTTCAAAGTTATGAGATGGCTCCACTGGTTTTGTTACTGTCCCCAGCACAATTAAAACTTGGAGAGACCCTCCAAGCAGCTGCTGCTCTTTCTACATTTTGAGACTGCTTTCTGCTTTTCACATGTTATGTAGTTTTAGCCATCCATTAGCCTGTATGCCCCTAGTATGTAATTTCTGGAGCTGGTGCTTTTGTCTACATATTTGCCGTCCAACTCCTTCCCTACCTACTCAGAGGCTAGTATGGAAAGTGTGTGTGCAATTTCTTGCAATTCCAGTTAAATTTGCAGCTGTGCTTTTAGGAATCTGGGCTTATATCTAGAACACTACTTCTAGTACCAAAAGGAGAGAGTCACTTTTGCCTCACATATCTAGAAAAACTGCTTACAATTGCAGCCACTGGAATTCGCAGCAGTTAGAGGTGAGCGTGCTTAGTTTCAAGTGCCGAGACATGACTAACCAGCTTTTTTTTTTGAAGAACTAAGCTGCTTTGGATGGACGATGAGAGAGCCTTCCCCTTGGTTTATTCTCTCTGCCAGGGCATGGAGGAACAAAAATCTTGCAGTATGTGTGTGTGGGACAAGTCACTAAGTTTGGGGGCCCATAAACTAGTACCAGAAGCACATTCTGCTTACAGATATCCCAAGCACACTGGAGATATTTGTCTAATGTATTAAACCATCACCAGTTGGATGGTGTTTCTAATAATCCAAGACCAAAATATATTATTGTAATCTGAAGCTAAAAGTATTAGCTTGACTTAGTTCTGCTGAAGGGGACTCTTACCCGGAAACAGTTTACTGAGAGTCACATTCATACGGCATTGATGTCTTCATCTGCCTTTTTTTTTTACCATTTCTCTGGGGGTTTGCTATGTTCTTTAGGGTGAGACAATGTCCCTTCCAGGTTTCTAAGAGAGGTTTGTGGATCTAGAGATAAATTGAGTGTACAGATCACCTTGCAATAGCCTCAAAAGAAAATTCTAAATAAGCCTCAATAAACCTGGTAATTATAAAGACCAATGACTTGTGATCATATGACTGAACTCTAAGTTCTTGAATTCTGCAATTCTGATTTTTCTTAATCATTGAGGGCTCTTAATGATTTTGCAGTGACAAACATTAGAGACAACTACACGATAGTTAAAATGCACTCCATCTATATACAATGGTGAGGTTTTTTGATACTATTTCCTGGTTTTCTTTCAATGCAATTTTTTCACCAGCTTACAGGCTAAGGTAGGTTTTGATTTATGCTTACTCTTCTGCTGCAAAATAGGTGTGTCCTTTCCCTCTGAAATAGTTGCCATATGGATGGTCATTTCTTCTTCCCATTTTGTGAGCTTGGTCCTGCTCAGACCTAGAGGGTAGAAACACGGTGCCTCAGCGTGATAAATAATTTGTAGTCTTTAAAGTGTAATATTATCAACTTCTATGTTTTAATGCGAGCATTTTAGGGAGGCAGGATAATCTGATATCTTCAGAATCAAGTAGATCCACACCTATATGCAGCTGTCCAAGTTTAAGACAAAACTCAAGTAAAGACTGTAGTCCACATTTTAGTATCTCCAGTGACATAAAGGTATTTGCACCTGACTGGAGCAGAGAAAAATTTTATGTCATCTTTTTAGGTACAAAGTGATGGCAGAATTCTGAAGTACAATCTTGAATACAGAAAGAAAGGCAATTTACCTGGGCAAGTAAAACTATTGAGAAGAAAAACTGATATTGTCCTTACAAGTAGCTGTTTATTTCTGTTATTCCCTGTTAACAGTCAGGGGACAGGTTTTCAATCACTGTAAAGTCTCAGAGATCTGTTGATTTTCAGATGGGAATAGTAATTTACGTCTCCCACAATCTAAACTCAGACGCGCAGAGAATTTCTGTTATAACCTTAACTCCCATTCTTAAGTGATAATCATCAAGCTTCAAGCTGTCTGAACAGTTAAAAATCTAATTGATCAAATACAGTGAAGAAGAAATCCACAAGTAATAATGTTTCTGTCATTTAAAGCGCACAACAATAGATCCTACTTGGTAGTATCCAGCCAATCTACGTACCTTACACAGGTAAAGTATAAAACATGATGACTTTGCTGAAGACAGTTCTAGCCAGGGAAGGGAAACATCTGCAAGTTTACTTAAACACAGTCAAGCCTCTTCCAGAGCATAATTTTGAAGCAAAGCAGAAAATTTTGTGTAGAATAAAAATATACAAATATTTGTGTAGAATAAAAAAGCATACATCTTACCTCCTTCAGACTTGTATTCTGTTAACTGAAAGGCATATGCAGCTTTCTTTTCCTTGACTTGGTCTGGTTTTTTCTCCTTTGATCTGTTTTCTTATGACTATCACGAGTTTAAATTCCTTTCGGTACAGCTTCTGAATGCATTAATTAGCATGAAAGGGGCAAGGATACAACTTTTCATTTGCTTCTGTGTCCTTCTCTCTTAATAAGCAGCAGTAGAATCTGTTATTTCTTGATTTGTTACATACCCTCTGAGACACGGGTCAGCACCTTTTTACCTGCCCTTTTTACAAGCTCCTAGAGTGGACTATTTCTAAATATAAACGTGTTTTGATTTAGGGCTGATTATTCTGTGACAGAGGACTGGTATTTTTGCATGTCTTTACTATAGCTTTGTGTATGCACTCTTTTTGCATCATTTTAACACTGTGCAAACTATTATATTTGGACAAAAACTTATAGGTGGATGATGTTATACTGTAACAGAAGTGTCTTACATTTGGGCAAATACAGTTTAATTCTGTAGTAATAAGCAAATACTGCAACAAAAAGAGAGTCTATCCCATGGGCTGCAGAACTAACGAAGCCTAGGTTAGGACTTGTAATTCATACGAGTCCATACAAGTCCTTTGTGTGTTAGCACAGGCAATTCATACAAGTCCATACAAGTCCTTTGTTATGGACTTTTATGAATTGCCTGTGCTAACACTGTGGTAATTCCATTTACAAGACCAGGCAAGAAATGGCAGTCTGTGATTAATTCAGAGGTCTGGGTACTGTGATGGACAAGCAGTCTTAAATATTGTTGAAAGAGAGAGAAGATACAAGAACCATGTTCTGCTTGTCATTCGTCTTAATGATTCATTAATCTGAGCCTCTCTGTCCTTCCACAGATTTTTTTAAGTTTGCAGGACTGAAAACTTTTAATAAGTTTTCACTTGTCTTTGAAGTTGTGTATGTGGCTCTAAATGTGGTGAAAACAGCTGACAGACTGAAAAGCAAATAGGAGGGAACAGACAGTGTGAGAAACCAACATCCATTTCATTAGGAAATCGGATGAAAAGTCTCAACATTGATATTCTTAGCTAGTGCAGGTGTGGGAGGTCAGACCATTTTTCTGCTTATGTGTTTTGCTTAATCATGGTAAAAATGTGATCTGTCTTTAGATATTTTTCCATCGTGGTGCTCAGTGACAGGACCAGAGGCAATGAGCACAGACTGAAACACAGGAGCTGCTCTGAACATCAGGAAACCTTTTTTTCTATGGGAGTGACTGAGCACTGGCACAGATTGCCTGGAGAGCTTGTTGGGTCTCCCACACTGGCGATATGCAAAAGCTGTCTGGACACAGTCATGAGCAACCAGCTTCAGGTGGCCCTGCTGGAGCAGAGGGTAAGACCACATGAACTCCAAAGGTGCCTTCCAACCTCTACCATGCTGTGATTAACACCAGAAAGATCTAGCTGGTTTTGCTGGACCAAACAACATGGGTTTTGTGGAGGGGAAAATGAAGGGAACAAGAAGAATGAACAGTGAGGAACATAAACTCCTTAATTTGTACAAATCATTCAATGCTTTATATTATACCAGATGAACTCAACTGGAGTTTCAAAGGGAGAAGAGATGCAGGGAAGTTTCTATAGATAACCATGTGTGTAAAACTGTAAGTGGACGCTATCACAGTCTGTCAAGTTCCCAAGCAACATATCAGCCCTTGTGCACCCTGAAAATGTCATAGAGCTCCTCATCAAATCATGTGTTTTCCTGAAGAAAAGCTTCATTACTGGGAGAGGATGATAACTGAAGGGCATTGTTTGGTCTTGTGAGAATCAAGACATAGAGTAAATGCATGTGATTACCAATCCTAGTCTCTACCCCATCCTCGCCTCAAGCAATGTGTAGGGCAAAATGTCAACTGCTTGAATATTTTGTGTTCTGAATGAATCTCTTGTTAATAGTATAACAAGAAAGGGAAAAAATAACGACTTTGTCATGATTTGTGTCACCATCTGGAATATAAATGCAGAATGCTGCTATTGAGGAATTGGATGGATGAGAAGGTGAAACACCACATCCTGGTTCTGATCTCAGTTTTTTTACAAAATCTTAGTTCTCTGAAATAGTGCTGCTAAATTCATCACTGTAAAGTCACTGGAATTGGCAAATGGATTTCACAGGTGTTAACCTTTTCAAAGATAGCATTTCAGGAGAAGAGGATGGAAGAGGATGGAGAAACCTCCAAGTAACCCAAGTTACTTTGGGTTTTTTGTGATAAACGAGAACTTGTGGCAAACCTAGGACACTAATGAATCTTGATCACAGGAATGAAATGAATGCTTCTAGTGTAACTGAAAATAACAGGCTTGACCTTTGAAGAAGAATAGCTGTTGGTTTTATGCTGTTGACATTGTGATTCCATCTTTCTAGGAGAAGATCTTGGGATTTTTATTAATTTATTTCCCTTAATTGATAATTTATTTTCTCTGGCATTTGAGGCTTCCTACAGCAGACAAAACAAAGAAATATGAGTACCTTGGCACTTGATTTAGTAAAGGCTTTAGTTTTGAGTTTTATGGGAATTTCAGTGGAAACTCACAAGTATTTCACTGCTAAATCTACATTAACAGTAACATAGGACAGTAAGCGAAAATAAGGACATTATACTCCTTTCAGTTTGTCCTCAGAATCTTCATCTTTCCATGGTTTGGGGATTTACTTGGAAGTATGTACTATCTGGCTTCAAGGCTGAACAGTTCCACTATAGGCCTGAGACTGGATGTGGCTAGTGCCATGGTCTAGTAACCACGGTGGTGTTGGATCAAGGGTTGGACTTGATGATCTCAGAGGTCCTTTCCAACCCAGCTGATTCTATGATTCTATGATTCTATGTTTTGGAGCTTTTTGCAAAGCTATTCCTCAAACAGCTGCTACCTTGACTGCAGGCACCTCCAGGAAGCAACATGTTGTCCTGTAGGCTGCCTTGCACAAACACCTTTAGTATGTTCATCCTGAAAGCCTAGTTCACGACAGAAAGTTCCTCCTCAAGTAGTTTGCAAGTGAAGCTCTGGTCCCTGCTGCCAGGCCCATCTCTCTCTGCTCTATCTCTGAAACTTACAATAAAGAAGGAATGGTAGTCTTAATCCTGTAGTAGCTGTGCCAAGACGATGGCATGATTGCAGTGGTGCCTGTGTGGCTGCACTGTGTTTTTCCAAAGAAAAAAGGTTGGATAGCTTTCTAGCTTTCTGTTTTTCTTTGCTCCTACTTTGTGGTTGACTGCAGGTTCTGAGCCCAGGGGATTGTTCCGATTTGTGGGACTTTCTGAGATGCAGGGTGACCAACTATGAGTGAAAAACTGTGGGTGAAAAACTTTTGGATGCAGTTGGGCACTATCAAGGTGAGATTGAGTTATGACTTCCCTTTCCTGTGATTTCAGGACACCATCCCTGGATTTAAGAGAATGGCAGTGCTTTCTAAAGCCTCACAGTCCTGTTCCCACCAGTAGGTTGATAACGGGTTTGGGGTAAGAAACTCCTTGCAGATGAGCTGCTGATTTAGGCCTCTGGGGCCACCTCTGAAACATTTTGTTTGAAGAAAATTAATATAGTCAACACAGGCTGTATCCTTAGGACTTGGATCAAAACAGTCCTTTGCAGCACATTGCCCAGGGAGGTAGTGAAGTCAGCATCCCTGAAGGTGTTTCAAAGACATCTGGCACTGGGTGATGGTTCAGTGGTTCAGGGGGTTCAGTGTTACTGCTGGGTGGATGGTTGGATTGGATGATCTTAAAGGTCTCTTCAAACCTTGATGATTCTGTGATTCTGAGTAATCTCTGCAGTAATAGTCCAGTGAAACTTAACTTGGAATATTGCCACTACAGCTGAAGTAAAAGCAGTCCTAAAATGAATACAAACACTCAATACTTCAGCTCTGGGCATGAGGAGAGTAGACTTCAGGCTGCTCAGGAAGCTAGTAAGTAAAGTGCCCATGGAAAATTATTTTATATGTTCTGGGGTCCATCGTGCTGGTCACACTTTAAAGATCACCTCCTGAGGGCACAGGAGCAGGCAATTCCAAAGTGTTGCAAGTCAAGCAGATGAGGCAGAAAGCCAGCTTGGCTGAGCAGGGATCTGCTGTCGCTGGGTACCTGTCGAAAGGCCTCGGTCTGAAGGGGGAAGAATCGACACACAAGACACATGAGGGTAGTGAGACAAAGAGATGTCTGCCTGCTCAGCGCAGCAGGCAGTCTTTTATTTAGTGCCAAGTTCCACTTTCCCATACACACACACTACAAACATTTTCCTACAAAACATCCAGGAATGCAACACCTGCAGTTTGTTAAACAGCTCGACTTTGCACTGTCCAGCACTCAGGGCTGTTTCCATGGGAATGTGCAGTTATCTCTTTCTTTTCTCAAGGGAACGGTCTTACTCCCTTTAACGCCTCAAGCTCTTCTACTTCCAGGGGGCCCGGGGGTTCCATGGGCCTGCCATCTCCCCCCACAATCTGCTTTTGGAAATAAGGAGAAAAAGGAAGGTGTATGCCCAGCAGAAGCAAGGTCAAGTGACAAGAGAAGAATACAGAGATGCAGTTTGCCACAGTAGGGAGAAAATTTTTGCAGCCAAACCTCAGTTGGAGTTGAAACTGTCAAAAATGTAGAGGATAGGAAAAGAGGCTTTTTTTCAAATATATTAACAGCAAAAGACAGTGTAGAAATTACATCGGTCCATTACAGGGTGAGGATGGTCACCTCACAAACAGGGACAGAGACAAGGCAGAGATGTTTAATGCTTTCTTTGCCTCTGTCCAGCATGGATGGCAGACCAAGGGGATCTCAGTGCCCTGAGCTTCAAGACCATGACTGCAAGTTGACCCTGGACTTGTGTGGGATCTGGTGCTTGAGCTGGATCCCTGTAAATCTATGAGGCCTGATGGGATTCATCCAAGAATCCCTGAGGAGCTAACTGATGTCACTGCAAAACCTCTCTCAGTGATTTTCAGGTGGTCTTGGGAATCTGGAGAGGTCCTAGCTGACTGGTCCCAATTTTCAAGAATGGCAAGAAGGAGGACCCTGGAACTACAGGCTTGTCAGTCTCACTTCAGTATGGAGATTATTCTGGGCGGTATTGAAAAACACCTGGAGGACAATGCAGTCATTGGTCACAGCCAGCACAGCTTTGTGAGGGAAAGTCCTGCTTGTCACACCTGATTTCCTTCTATGACAAGGTAGCCTCCTTGATTTAGGAAATCCATTAGATGTAATATTTTCAGACTTCAGCAAAGCTTTTGATACTTTTCAGTAACAAAATTCTCGCTAGTGGAGAGTAGTAGGATACTACTCTCACAGTACCCTTCTGGACAAAATGTCCAGCACACATCTGGATAACTGTGATGGGTGAGCAACTGGCTCACAGGTTGGGCACAGAGAGTTATAGTGAATGGAGTAACAACATCAGACCAGCATTCAGTCATTAGTGGGGTTCCACAGGGCTCCATCTTGGGTCCCGTGCTGTTCAACATCTTCATTAATGATGTGGACACAGGACTTGAAGGAATAATAAGTAAGTTTGCCAATGACACTGAACTGGGAGGAGCTGTTAATTCCCTGCCCTGCAGAGAGACCTTGACAAATTAGAGGACTGGGCAGTCATGAACTATATGAAGTTTAACAAGGGAAAGTGCTGGATTCTGCACCTGGGATGGGGCAACTCTGGAAGTGTGTATAGACTGGGGAACGAGAGGCTGGAGAGCAGCTCTGCAGAAAGGGACCTGGGGGTCCTGATCAATGGCAAGTTGAATCTGAGTCAGCAGTGCCCTGGCAGCCAGGAGGGCCAATCCTGTCCTCGGGGGCATCAGGCAAAGCATCGCCAGCCAGTCTGCTCTGCTCTGCACTGGGGCGGCCTCACCTTGAATATTGTGTGCAGTTTGGGACACCACAATACAAGAAAGATATTGAGCTCTTAGAGAGCATCCAAAGGAGGACAATGAAGATGGTGAAGGGCCTTGAAGGGAAGCTGTATGAGGAGTGGCTGAGGTCACTTGGTGTGTTCAGCCTGAAGAAGAGGAGACTGAAGGGAGACCTCATTCTGGTCTTCAAGATCCTCACAAGGGGAGGTGAAGGGGCAAGTACCGATCTCTTCACTCTCGTGACCAGTGACAGGACCTGAGGGATTGGCCTGAAGTTGCATCAGGGCAGGTTTAGTTTTACATCAAGAAAAAGATTCATCACCCAGAGGGTGTTTGGGCACTGGAACAGGCTTCCCAAGGATGTGGTCACAGTACCAAGCCTGGCAGAGTTCAAGAAGCATTTTGACAATGGTCTCAGGCACATGGTGTGACTCTTGGGGTGTCCTATGCAGGGCCAGGAGTTGGACTCAGTGATCCTGATGGGTCCCTTCCAACTCAGCATTTTCTGTGATTCTATGATTCTACTACTTCTGTGCCATTAAACACATACATAGCCATCAAATGACAGAGTGTCCAGGTGACTAATTCTATTCTGTGCATTTAGCCAAGAAAATAAGAGTATGACTTTTCATTTCTCACAAGATCCTGTTCAGGCTAGTGGGAAATGGGGAAATCTCCAGCCCCAGCCCTGACAGAGTCAGTTCTGGACTCAGACCAAGATACTCGGGACTTCACCCTGTCAGGCCATAAAAGCCCCAAGGATGGCATCAACCCAACTGCCCTGGACCACATCCCCACCATTGGGCTGCCCTCACAGCTTCAGCCTGAGCTCCTCATGTTTCCACTTGTGCTGCTGTCTCACCCTCACACCAAGCACCACTGTGAACGGCCCACCTGCATCTCCTTTGTCTCTCCTGGTGCCTGATTGCTGTTTGGTGCCTCCAGAGCCACCACTCCCCCCTGGCTGAACCAGCCCCAGTTGCACAGCCTCTCAGTGATCCTCTGCTGAACTCAGTTGTGTTTGTCAACTCCTTTACTGTATTCTAAAATACATGCACAACTGTGGAGCAGAGCACAGCATGCCACTAAGTGTCTTCTTTATTGCCCATGTCTGATGTCAGGACATGTCAAAATAAATCAGTGACAGGACTTGTAAATAAAATACAGAATTTTAACAAAAAGGCAGAGGTAGAAACTACGTCTATTAAACATATCCCCATTTGTCCTGCCTCCAATAACCCTTCCTTTCACTTTATAAAATGAAGAGTTATTTTAAATATTGGAACCCTGCAGAAGACTGAAGACTAATACTTCTAGAAAAATCCAAGTTTTTCCATTGACAAGTTTGAAAAGTAGTTTTTCAGGACTGTGCTACAACACGCCCAGTTGTGTTCCTTCCAGTCTACATTCTGCAATCAAGCCCTCACAGGTAGTTGATTTATTAGTGGCTCAGCTGATTTCGTGTAAGTTAAATTAAGTTTTTGAAATACTGATTATTCTATGAGACAAGAAGTAATTATTTTAGAGGAGTGATTTATGTTAAACTTCCCAGAGGAAGCCATGGTAAAAATTTCATAAAAAGTTCATAAGTAGGGCAGCTATGATAATCATGATAATTTGGGAACTTTAAAGTGCTATTTTTTTTTCTTTTACTGTTTTTTCTAAATGTGATCCAGCCCTTCCTCCCTTCTTTTAAGTTCTCTCTTCCCACTGATAAAATAAAAGTTATGTGGATACAGACTCTCTTTCATTCTCAGAGTATTTACTCAAAGTATTTGTCTCAGGATAGTTGGAATGTGGGACTAAAGGGAAGTCAACTAGTCCATCATACTACTTAGAAGTGCAATCAAATATATTTAGATTCTTGCTCATGTCTTACCTATTCTCTGATATCTCTCTGTTTTCGTATTCTCCCTGTAGTCTGCTTCCATGCTTAACAGGCTACAATGTCTTTTTATGTCAGCCTATTATGGATTTGAAGGCTGTTCTTGTGCCCTGTAAATACTTTTGTCTTCTAAACCAGAAAAACTTTATTTCTTACACTTTTCCCTTAGGTTGTGTTTTCTTAATTTTCTCATTTTTTTCCACTTAATTCTTTGCAACTTACATACTTCTTCCAGTTAAAGCCTTACAAGCATCATTATCTCTTCTATCTTACCAATAACACAGAACATTTAGTACTTTTAATGCAAGGTTGCATTTGGGATTCTTACTCATTTTGAAGGCCACCATAGCCATAGGTCTTCTTCTACTATTCATCAATCCTTCTTCATTTTATGTGGATGTATTTTGCTTTTTACTTCTGATATTTAATACTGTATTTCTCTCTACTGTTTTCTATCACGTATGTACCTTTTCCCATTTATCAGGTTTATTTATTTATCTGATTCCAGCCCTGCTCTGTAGAGTACCTGCAAATCTTTAGCTCAAAACTCTATTCGGGTACTCATGCTTTCACATCCAACTTGTTTACTGAAAATATTGAACACTGCTTCCCCAAGCTAAACATCTGTGAGGTGATGCCTCTTCCTGTTTGATAGTGACAGCTGCAGTCTGCATTTGGGAGTAGAGTTTCTATCTGCTGCGTACACACTTCATGGCAATTTAATTTAGACCACAGTTTCCCTAATTCACTTAGCATGGCCCTGTGGGACTGTACTGAAGACTTGTATAGTCGAAATGCAACTTCAGCATCAAAATAATATGATAATGGTTACTGCTTTAGTTTGCTTGTGAACTACTTACTTTCTTCCTTAGTTTCAAACATTCCTACCCAAAACTTCTGTTGTTTTGTAAATCCTACTAATAGGGAATTTGGCTAAAATAAAACACTTCTATGTGTCCTGAAATGCTGTCCGAGGTCCAGTGTAGTTACACCACTACATTGTGTTCTCAATAGCTTCTGTTGTTGTGTTTCAGGAGATGGAGGGAAGGGTAGGATAATGTTGACTTTTCTGGTTTAGTACTAGTCTGGCTTTCTCTTTCTTTTCTCTGTTGGAGTTGATCTAAAGTAACTAAAAATCCAGCTGATAGGATGAGAGTGGCTCCTGCCATGTAGAAGCCTGCTCTGTAGTCTCCAGCCATGTCCACAATCAGACCTAGAGAGAAACAAGTGACAGAAATGTGATTGATGGAAAACAGGCTAATGTGAATTAGCTCAACAGTGTGAACATATCCTCTCACAAAGTCAGTGTGCTGGCTACGTACCTGTCTTGCAGCTTTCTACATCATAAGCACATGTAACATCACTCTATTATAGCATTTTAAAATTTGAAACACAATTCACATCCCATTGTTTTGTATGTTGCTACTGAAACAATATGATACACAGTTTGAAGCACTTTCCAACCTAAAGTGTGGCAGACAGTGAAGATACTGGCAGAAAAAAACCCCAGACAACGCAGCTGTGTATCTGAGTAGCCCCATGTTCTGTGGTGTAGCTGTCATCAGTTGCTGTAATTTGGACCATAACTGTACAGCACAAGAGAATTTAAAGAAGGAAAGGAGATTTGTCTGCGGAAGACATAGTTGGTTAATTTGTCTGATGTATAACAGGCTTCCATTTCATCATTTTACAAGGAGTCACAGATGTTAACAAAAAGACCTTGGTTTTCAAGAAGCTTTAAATCAACCAAAATACATAATGCCATTTTGTTCTGTACTGAGAAATCACTAGTATAGTAGTAGTAGTAGTACTGCAGCAGCATATCAGCTGCTCTGTGGGTGTGATGGCATATTCCTTTGTGGGCTGATGAAAACTGCTTGCTTGTGGAAGGCTTGTTCACATTTAGTGTAGTCTCTAGCCCACCCTCTAACCTGACATCAGCCCTATGTAGTCAAAGGAACTCTGAATTTAAATCTTTTAGATTTTATTCTCAGAGTGGGAGAGGAGAGCTTGAGAAGCACTTAGGGTTCCCTGCTCTTCCATACTTTCTTTGTAGATTATTATGTGTACACAAATGGTATTACTACATACAGTAATTGCAGATTACTATATGTACACAAACTGATCCCCAGATAATCAGTGCTACTGACCAGCCACTGTATAAATGTCTTGCTACCTTTGTATTATTTTCAGATCTTTCCAACACACTTTTGATACTGTTCTGTCTCAAACTCTCTATAGATCTTCCTGGTTCCTATATCTTCAAAAGTAAATTAAAATGTTCCAGTATTCAGTCTGACCCATTTGCAATCTATTAGTGATGCCATTACCACAGAAGTCACTGTCGTGCATGAGCAGTGGTCTTTGAATGAGGACTCTGTGTGCATTTACTAGTCACATTGGTCATTTTTCTGCCATATCACTTTGTAAAGTCCCTACAGCTTGCAGTTCATTTGCCGTGCATTTTTCCAAGATGATTATACTTTGTTGCCAGTCCATAAATCCATGTGCTGTCTCATTGTCTTCTCTCTCTTCCCACTGTTCTTATGTGCTGCCTCACCCATTTATTATATTGGTTGTCTCAAATGCTGTCTAAAAACAGCAGGCATCTCTGTGAATATTTCCTTGAGGTTTGCATAGCCTAATGTTCAATTTGAACTTCTATAGGAAACCTTCCAACAATACCAGCATTTGTGCAACATCTCTAGTCTCAAATTTCAGTTTCTTCTCTGAAAATATGAGTCTGCTGCTTGTCCTAACGGCACACTTTCATAGCAAGAGAGTGGGAGGCCACCAAGTGGCATTCTGTGGGAAGCAGGAACACCACCAAGTGAACCCTGCCATTCATCCCTGCTTTCATATTGAACAGGTATCTCTAAAATCACAGAGAAGAGAGGGAACAGTGTATTTTCGAGAGGATTTAAACCAACCATTTGTTTTTTATACTTCTTGGCTTACATACGCCCGAGGTAAGAAAGGGGGAAATTCGGGTGCAGATCCAGATCTTTTCAGTTTGGGTTACCACTCCCCTTTCTTCTTGTAAACTTTGTAAACTGTGTTTGGCAGAGTATCATCTTAACTTACCTGCAAGAGGGGGCCCCACAAAACCTCCAGAGCTTCGAATGAGCATGAAAAGCCCTAAAGCACTGTCAAATTCTGGCATGCCTACAACATCTGCCAGCACTGTAATGTGAATGGCGACTGTCGTACCAAAGAAGAATCCATAGAAGCCAGTGAATATTGCCAAGGAAACATAATTGTTAGCCAGTGGCAACAGCATCAGGGAAGTACTGATCAGTGTAATTGTCATCACCAGCAAATGAATGGTTTTGGTAACGTGGAGATTGGCATACCAGCCACACAGCAGTCTGCCTGCAAAGTCCACCATAGCCAAAATGGATAGGAGTGATGCAGTCCATGATTCATCTATTCCCAGGCTGTAGCTAAATGGAACTAAAAATAACGGAGGAACAAAAAAACTCATAGCAGCTAATATGCCAAAAATGGCATAAAGTACAAACTCTGGTCGCTTCAGAAGCATCCAATTGAAGGTTTTGTGTGTGATAGGAGACTTATCTTCTTTGTCTATCCTGGATGCACTCTTGCCAGGTGGTGTTCGAGTTTTGGAATGGTGAGCCTCAAGGAGGCAGCTGCTTGCCAGGGGTCGCATCAGTGCTCCACCAATACAAATATTGAGTTGGATGCCACCTATGATCAAGAGGGCACCTTTCCATCCATATTGACTAATCAACCACTGGAAAAACGGTCCAAATGTGAATGCAAAGGCACATTCTCCAGCGCTGGCAATAGCATTGGCCAAAGCCCTTTTCTTGGAGAAATAATGGCTAACAATGCTAATGGCTGGTGTCCATGAAAAGGAAATCCCAAGACCTGAAAAACAATAGAAATAGCACAGGTTAGACACTACTGAGTATTTTGTGAAGGAAATTAAAGCAGTCAGTGCTCCTCTATTTGCAAAGTTAAAAAGTGTAGAAGTTAAACATTTTTGTTCCTAGCAGCAGCATGAGCTTAGCTGTACTACCTGTAGGAGTAAATTTGTCACATATTCTGTAAGAGTAAGTCATATATATTCAAGCAAAAAAGTAGGATCATGAAGTTCTTACTTAAATAAATAGATAAAAGAAGTTGGTTTGACAGCTTTGGCACTGCGTGAGAAATCACATGGTCATGTGGTTGAAGCTAGACAGATCTGAGTGTCTATACTGTCTGAATTAAGGCTGGCACTAGATGAGTTAAACTGAGCTGTGCTGAACTGTGCTCAGGGTAGCAAGTGAGGCAGGACATGAAGAAAGCTGGTATATTACCTCTATCTGCTCTTCATTTTCTTGCCGGACTTCTTTGAGCAGACTTCAAACCTGCTCTAACTTAGAGTGATTTTAATGGCTCCCTAGATTATTTGGCAGCCCAGGACCGCCAAAGGGCTCAAATTCCAGACATTTTCCCAGGCATCCAGCATGGAATTTGAAATGGTTTATTTTATTCCCTGCCAGCTTTTCTTCCTGTTCCAGGAAAATCTGTTAATTGTTGGAAGCAACTTTCTGGCCTCTTTTCACTGGAGTAAAGGAAAGGATTGAAATCAAGTGAAAGTCTGGGCCTCTGTTCAAAACATAAGATAATGTTACAGAAAGAACAAAATTTGGGATCTTTGCGTTCTTGTACTCCAGTACTCTTTATGAAGGTTCTTTAAACCTTCACAAGGCTCTTGTCTCCAAGTGAAAAACAAAACATTTTTCATTTTGTGCTTGTATATAATTTGCAGGTGCAAATTACTAGCATCTAATTATTTACCTTCTTTGTCATTGCAGGTTTCCTGCACAAATTCTTATTTCCAGAGTGGGAAAGGCGGGAAGACACCTTTTAAGAGCATTGTTGGTTCTAGCTGCTCATGAAATCAAAATATACATCAGATTTCAAAACTCCTACCACTAGCACCCTCAGATAAGGGCTCTGAGTTGCTGCTGGAAGAAAGCCATAAAGCCATAAAGTCATACCCTGTAGGAAGCCAGTCGTTACATACATCCAGACCATGTTGAATCCAAAAAATCCCAGTGCCATTCCTGAAAAAGCCAGGAGTCCTCCAGTGATCACAACTGCCCGATGGGTGTATCGTGCACATAATGAACTGGCAACAGGGGCTGGATCAGCAGCAAAATTGGAGAAAGAAAAATACATTAGGAACATTAAGCTGATTGACATGACCAAATAATCAAATAAGTCAAATAAAGTACCCTTATAACTCTTGTCTCAAGCAGACTTAATTCTTCTGGATGGAGCAGGACATCAATTGCAATTTCAAACTTGGATCCTTACTGACAGGGAAATGACTGTCCCTGGCGGTCAGATTTTTAAATATATTCAAAATATGTAATCTTTTTTAAAGGGAAAGAGCATTTCAGTGCCTTCCTTGCAGGACAGTTCTACTGAATTTCATGTAAGGATATACAACTAGCAACGTGACAGAAACTAGTGTAGAATTTTAGCAGGAAGTGAAAACTCAATTTTATTATTGAGACTGTATTATTGATATGGTTGGCACGGAAACTTTCTGGAGGAAAATAACCTTTGTTAGTTTTGCAAAATCATATCTTTATGGAATTACAAAAGTTTATAAAGGACAAAAAATCAGTGTTTATTTTGTGGTTATGCTTTTTACAGGAAATTTGCAGTTCATTTCTTAAATCTTTATTTTAGGGGTACAGTTTCAGCAGAGTGCAGGGACTGTTCAGCACAAGGGCAAAAATGCAGTAGGTACAGATCTGACAGGGCAGCAACTGCTTTATCTCTATTCACTATCTAGAAGCACCTGAAATGTCAGGGATATTTTTGTTTAATTAAGGATCAGTTATATTGCCTCGCTGTTTTTCCACCAGCATCACAGAGATGAGGTCAAGGCCGTAAGACTTCTTTAAATAGCCTTGACCACTAGGGGACTCCCAAGTACCACCTGGCATCGGTGGGAACTGGAATTCAGTTAACGAGGACCATGCTTGGAAGTTGAAATAAGTAGGAAGACAATGAAGAGAGGGCAGTCAGTAAGGAAGGTTTCATAGTAGTTTGTAGGGGCAGGTTGTTCTAGGTTCACCTGTATTAGGATCAGAATTAAGAGAATTTGGTGGCTAGGATGAGTGAAATAAATCTGGCAGAGTATAATGGCTGCAAAATGTGCAGGATGTACATTGTCTGATAGCAGACAGACCTGGCAGAAGTTATACAAACCCCAGATGTCTCATCAGAATTTACAGCAAAAATATTATGATTTTATAAACATGTAAAAATTATACCAAAATTCAGTCACGGTCTCTAAGATGTAGTGGATGAGACATGATAAAGCAGATACAGTTGGAGAATCATACATTATGATGAGAAAAAAAAAAAAAAGAGAAAAGTAGACTCAGGATAACTTCCATGAAAGTGCTTTAAGACAAGAGAGAGATCTGCAGTTGGAGCAGAAATACTACCAAAATCCAATTTTTAAATAGTGAAAAAGGAGGATAGGCAGAAATTGAACATGGGGTAGAAGGAGAAGGAAAGAAGCTAACCACAGAACTAGAAATGGGAAAAATAGCTAGATTCCACAGTCTGGAAGGATAAAGAGTAACACACAGAAAACTTACAAGAAATGAAAAGGGATTATAATCACAGTGCAAAGAGAAAGGTGATGGGATGTGTACATCAGTACCAAGAGAAAGCCTGTGATTGTGGTGGGGAGAACCCTTGCTCTGGTAAACTGAACAGCCTGTTGCAAGTGCAAACCCTGGGAGTAGAAGCACATGCTCTCCTTCCATACAAGAACAGAGCTGATGTTGGAAGGATCCAGACAGGACAAAATAATAATTCAGTGATCATCCTTCATACTGAACCAAATGACACTGAAGGTTTCCCAGAAGAACACGATAAGAAAGACTAAGCCAGGCCCGGAAAGATGCTCAAAGAACTGGAGGTTCAGATGATCTTAAGCAGAAAGTCTTCTGGTCCCTGTAAATGAAGCAAAGGCAGGAGAAGATGAGGACAATTACATACTGACCTGAGACATTATAGACTGCTATACAGAGGGGTTTTGGAACATTTGGCCATCAAGCTGTATTCACTGAAAGAGGGTTGTTTTCATCTCAAAGGATGAAAAACAATTTCTGCTGAAAATTATAGCTGCCTTCTTGGAACTAGGCTGGTCTCAGACCTGGCTAGGCAAATACAGTTTTGCTGGTTTATATTTGATATTAGTAATATGCTCAATTCCTTGATACATTCCTATATAATGTAAATATGTGTTAAAACCAAAACAAAACCTAACTAAAACAGGACTTTGAGTTCTTCTAACCTTACGTTGTTTTTTTTTTCTTATTAAGTTTGTACGCTTGAATGACAAAATAGTATCACAGTAGGTCTGTGATAAGTCTAATTTGTAAACCAGATTGATAGATTTATTCATTTCTGTGGTCTGTGAAGCAAGTTTTTCAATTTTTTTTTTCAATTAATTATTTCTGTCACTGCAAAACAGGCATCAAGGATAGCAGTTTATGGAACTGATAAAATCTTTTCAACCCATGACTTGCTTTATCCTTTGACTGTGGATTATTCTTTGATTCTTCTGAATACATTTTTTAAAGAAAGATCAGTTGTTCATGATGTTTGGAAGTACTGCAATTCCAAGCGGTAATACTGATAGGTGTGGACTGAGTAGGATGCATATAATTATATAGTGTCTATGCAATGAAATGTCTTCACAAACAAAATTATGATAGCATTTATTATGTAAGGATATTTACCTATTACAACCATATACCTGTATGAGAATATGTAGAGCAGACTTCACAAATTCTGTACATTTCAAGCCTGCACATGTTTAGAATCATCATCATCATGTGAAGGATCATGCAGTTTACAAGGGCGCAAAGGACTCTCTTAACAACCAAGCTGAGTCAAATGCAGTATGTTTTCTATTTTCTTCCTTCATTTGGTGAGATATGGTATTTGGCCTGCTCCCATAGCTCATTGCCTTTGACTGGGATAGTTCACTCTCTCTTCCCCTACGCTCTGCTTGCATGATCTTGTCTTTCTTGTGCTCTGAGTGAACTGATTTTTTTTTTCTTTTTAACTCTGTGAGTTTTCTGTTAGATAAATGACTTGCAATCATTCTAAAGGGGTTAAAGGAGAGCCAGAACTGGCAATACATGCAAAGAAGGGGGATCTTGGCAAAGACAGAAAGGAGAAGTGTGAGAAGGCAGGACTGAGAATCATCATTTTGGTAGCAGATGGTTTATCTGATAGACAGGGTTACAGTCCTTAAGTTTAAAAGTACTTTGGAAAAGTGACAGTCGCTCTGAGATCAATGAACGTGCACAAACTGGTTTAAGAGCTTGATTCAACAAGCTCTGTGGTTATTAGAATTATTTCCAATTAGTTTAACTCAAAGCCTGTAGCAAAACTGAATCATGAGTTCAGGAACATGAAGTTCTTTATGGCAATCAGATTCCTGTGTATCTAGAGTGTCATTATTAACCAATTCCATATCTGAGGCAGCAAATGCTAATTTTCTGTAAGAAATTTTTCTGTATTTTCTGTAGACACAGAAGAAGAAAGTCTTGTCCTTACATATTTTTGGTTTGGGTTTTTCTTAAGGAAGCTTTTCAAACTTGTTTTAGTAGTTAATACATTAAAATGAAATGCTAGAGGAGCACTTCTACCTACCTCCTAAATGAAACATGGCAATAGTTACTGATGTGATCCAGGAAGTGGTGCTTGCAAGTCCATCAAAGTGCTCCTGGATTTCAACAAAGAACAGACCAAAAGTCTTGAGAACAGCAACAGTGAGGCCCATCACCATGAAGGCTGACACTACCACAACCCATCCATAGCCACCATCTGGTGGATTGCTGTCTTCAGCCTGCATCTTTTTTAATTCTCAGATCTTCTCTGGGCTTTGGGTTGGCTTTTGATTTTTTTTTTCCTGCAGTGGTAGTGATGGTGATGAGGATTTTTAACAGATCTGCAAATTGGTAGAAGGCTCATTGTTAAAGAAATGAATTAAAGTATTCTAGGAATGGCTTACACAGATTAATTACCAAATTAAAATACAATATGCATTACAGCAGTTTGACTGAAAATATTACCTGAGGAACTGATGCCCCAGGAGACAGAAGACTGAGTAAAGAAAGCAAAACAAAAGAAAACAAAAAGAAAGGAAAAATATTCAGGTATGGAGTGCAGGAAAAAGAAAAAGAAGCATGCATATGTGAACATAAGAGAGAAGACTATGAGAAAAGATGCAGATATGCAAATTTTCAAACACAGACCAGGGATCCTACCCTTTCTAGTAACTTCAAGAACCCTATCGCACCATTTTTCAAACCAATATATCATAGTAAACAGAAAATAAAATGCCTCATAGATTACCATACTTCCTAACATTCTCTGAGCATAGCAATCAATTTAATGAATTGTAAAGCCATCAAGGCAATTGTTTGTACCCATCAGCCTGTTTTCATAATTTTGTGTGTATAGATAAATCACTATTATATTTGCTAAGTTGCTTCTATGAGTGGTATTACTAGTGCAACAGAAGATGTTATAGAAAAAAGAAAATATTCCCAAGCTGAAAAGGACAGGAAATCAGTCTGTTTCAATATTCTGGGTATCCAATAAATGGAAATAAATGGAAGCTACTTCACTTATCTGGAAGTCTGAACCTAGTGGACTTTCCATTCCTGAGATGGCAGCCTCTCAGAGAAATACTTCACCTCCCATTTGGCAAATATGAAAATGACATTTAAAACCAAAAGAATTCCCATTGAAGGTATTCACTATGGGATTCTATCAATCTCGACACTTTCCATTTTTTAATAATTGCATAAGTTCCAGGAATACTGCAAACCTGTTTTTTATTGTTTGTGCTTTGTCACTAAAAATCCCATGTGAATTTGCGACTTTAACATGGGAATGTATAAACTTAAAAATTCTTGCTGTTGTAAGCAAATCTCTAATTCAGAACCATTACAATGTTATCTCAGTAATTCCAGTGACAACTGGTCTTCTCCCTGTGTAAAAAGATGTGTGTGATCTCGGAAATGGTATTCAGCATGAAACTTTGTGTTACTCTGGTCTCTGAGGAGTAAATCAGGGAACCAGTATGAGGTATGGTACTGGACATCTGAGGACTACCTGTACACTGTGAAACTTTGGAGCTTCCTGCCACATAAGACTGTGGATACTTGAACTTCACATGGAAATATTACATAAATATGTGCTGTACAAAACTATTGAGGATTAACAAATGTTTTAAAATGGCCCCTGACTCAGAAAGTGTCCAAGCTGCAGCTAGTCCAAATTCGGGAAGTATCACCTTATCCTTACTCTGTTCTTAATCTTAAAGATCCACTTTTGGCCTGAACCAATATAGCTGTGACTGACTTACAAGGAACACTGCGTAAGAATTTTAGGGTCCTCAGCATTTTAGCATTTATAAACATTATTGGCTCCTACACTGCTAAGCATTTTTGCCAAAATGGGGTGCATGCTTCCTTTTGAAGGCATCTTAATAGGCAAGAACATCTTATTAAACACATCATCAAAGAAGTGTATTTCCCCTTAGAAATTTTGTGACAAACTTGGAGTAATCATATAGTGCATGGTGGGCACAGGATCTGGCTGAGGCAGGGAAACATTCATTTTTCTGGTTTCTTCATGGACACTAAATTCTGGGCAGGCATATTGTACAAAATGCAGAAGACCAAGAAGAGATGACACTTCTCTCTTGGAGGGAGAATGGGAGCTTGAGATTGCCGGATGTACTATCCTTAAAATTATCTTCCCTGTGTGCAGCTGGGAAAAATGAGTATTAGGGAAATCCATACCAGTAGAAATTATACAGTACAAAGCAGCAGTCACTAGTCTTGTGATTTGCTTCACTGATTTATATGATCTCAAGAGGACCTAAATCACTTTAGCAGGGTGGGAGAAAGAATCCATCAGA